TCACAGTGTCCTTGGAGAGAACCTCGGTCCTCTGGAGAGCATGGGGGTCCCCCCCCTTCCGCCCTGTGCTATCCCCATTGTTCTTGTCTCCTGGACCCTAAAGCTTCTCTCTATCTTCCCTGCATCCAGTTAGTGCCCGAGGCCTCTTGATTTTGTCCACAGTCTCTCTTGGCTGTTAAATCCCTTTCATTTCTGCAGCATCTTCCTTGTCCAGGCCCATCTTATCTTAGCTGGATTTTCATTATCGCTTCCCTGTCCTTGCTGCCAGGTCAGTCTTCCTAAAGGAGACCGTGGGGGACAAAGAACACTGAAGAGGGCTGGCCGAGCCTGCCACCAGTCTGGCTCTGCTTCTGCCTTGCTGTGTGACCTGGGCAGGCCGCATGAGCCCTCTGTACTTCTCAGTCGTTTTCTATACATCTACTCTTTATATAACTCTCATATGACTCTGTATGTGCAGGTTGTCTCCCCCATTAAAGTGTGAGCCGCTTGAGGGCTCTGTAACCTACGGTGAGGTTAGCTCCCTCCGTTCAGAGGGACGTCTACCCTGAGCCTGCCGGAAGGAGAAGGAGGAGGAGGACGAGATAGTTTTGCGAGGATGGCTAGGTTCAGAAGAGGAGGAGGACAGACTGATGATGGACATTTCATCCCCAGCGTCTGCAGGAAGAAAAATGGAGAAGGACAAGAGTTTTGAGGAAGTGGAAATTTTGAATTGATGGGTTGATTACGGTTACAGGGAGTCAGTAAGAGAGGAGTAGTGAAGTTATTTTGCAAGAGAGTAGTTAGGAAATACTTCATGTATGGGTTTCTCTGGGTGTTGATTTGTAACCTGTAAAACATTAATGTTGGTTTAATTTTCTAGCGTAAATAGGAATGCCAGTTGACAACTTGTGTCACAAAATTTAGCAGCCAAATGTATCCTCCTTATTGGTTTTCAGCGTTTCTCTAATTGTATTTTTGTTCTCTTGACAGCACTAATGGAACCGTAATTAATAAAGTGAGGATCGTGAGGAAGCAGTCCTATGCTTTACAGACTGGGGACGTCATCTACGTGGTTTACAGGAAGAGCGAGCCAGAGCACAGTAAGGGGATTGGGCTTCAAGGAAGCCTCGGAGCTAGGGGGGCTGAGCCCGGGGGCGCTTGAGGGCAGCCGTGGCACTGATTGAAATCCTCGCTGCGGCAGCAGCCGGGCGTCTTTAGCGTTTTTTAAACAAGGCAGAGCTGCTGAACGGCTTTGGTAGCAGGGACCCCAGGATCGAGTCCTCTCTCTGATCTGGTGACTTTGGGCAACCTCTCTGGGCCTCAGCATCTCCATCTGTAAAACTGAAGGACCTGGAGTAGCAGACCTCTGAAGGGAGGTCAGGGAAAGGAACAAGTATTTATTAAGGGCCTACTGTATGCCAGGCACTGTGCGAAGCACTTTACAAACATGATCTCATTTTGCTTCTGAGATCCCTTCTTTGATCCTGTAGCTGTTAATGACTCTTAAAAGCTCCCTCTTCCAGACGTCTTTCCCTTTTCCAAAGTGTTCAGTCTTCACATGATTCCTTTCCTCCGTTGCTGACTGTCACTCAGTCTCTGTTTGTCCTGTTCCCATTTATCATAATTATCTCTTCATTCTTCCTCGTCCACCCTATTAGCATTTTCTGAACTAAAGAAAGAAAGACATTATTAGCACTTCATTCCTAGCAGCATGAGAGTTTCCAAAAGGCTTTTATGAGCAATTTCATGATAATGACATTGAAGCCTTCCCTATCATTCCAGCTGGAAGTAGCTTCTCCCATCAGGGGGTTTCATCACACAAAGCCCGTCCTTTTATGGACTTCATGTCTTCAGAAATGGGCATTCCATTGATCTGAGCTCATTTCATTATCCCTGCTAGAGTTTAAGTGGCTTGAGGGGAAAGGATTGAGTCCTTGTTTGTCTTTGTCTCTGACCTTTTCATAGGAGACATTTTGTGATTCTGCCTGTGATTCTCTGTGAACTTAGGAAAGGTGATTTTGACCAGCCCATTAAAGGGAAATAACGCACTTGAGGTCCGGACCCAAAAGGGAATTAAAATGACATGACTTTAATCTGGCAGACCTGTTAAGTGGCGTGCCCCAACGACCAGTCCCGTGTCAGTCACTCTCGTTGGCTCCCTGGAGAACCTGATGGTCAGATCTGTGAGTGACAAAATGTGATAACGAGAGTCGGTGACACTCTCCAAGATAAGCATGATATAAAAGTGACTCACTGGTTTGGATACATGGTCCCCCCACCCCCCGGTGAGTGCAAGCACAGGATGTTACTCGTAGGGACAACAACAACACATATTAAATGGGAAAGGACTCTCTAGGCATGAGTACAAAAGAAGATGATCTCAGGGATCCTAATGGACTGCCGGCTGAGTGTGGTTAATAGTATTGCAAATCCAATGGGAGCAGAGGCTTATTAAAGGAAATATAACTTACAAGGACCAAGAAAGAACCCTTCCAGTCTACCTCACCCAGAAGTGGTGAAGCCGAAGGAGCTTTGGGTTTAGAGTCCGAAGACCATGGTTCAGACTCTTGCTCTGTCATCAGACGACCCGAGCAGCCCATTTCTCCTCTCTTCCTGCCCCATCTTCTCCTGCCTCTGCCTGCCACAAGTCTCTCCCCACTCTGGTCCATCCTGTCCTCCATTGCTAGCATTATCCTCCTAAAGCAGCAGGTCTGATCACGTCACAGACACACACTCGGTAAACTCGTGATTCTCTCTCACTTCCAGGGTCAATCTAAAACCCTCTGTCATTCAACACCCCTGATAATCTTTGTTGCCCTGAGGGGGCCCCCCCTCCCCGCTTCTTGTCTTATTGTAAAGACCTTAGCTTAAAAAGGCCATGGGGGGCATCTCCAGTCGTCCTAATCCGTGTCTGGCCACTGGACCCAGATGGCTCCAGAGGAGAGAGTGAGGCTGGTGACTCTGCACAGCCCTGCCTCACTTTAATCCAATTCACTTGCAAGTCACGGCGTCACCCCCCTGACGTCATCAGTCCTCTTCGAGAACAAAGGACAGACGACACCCCCTCTTCCGCACATACCTTATGGTCCAGTCATCTAGCCTCCTGGCTGTTCCTCCCACAAAACACTCCATCTCTCAGCTCCAAGCATTTCCTCTGGCTGTCCCCCTCTGTCCTCCTCATCTCCATTGCCTGGTTTCCTTCAAGTCTCGGCTGAAGAAGTCTTGCTTTCACAAGAAGCCTTTCCCAGTCCTCCTTAATCTTAGTGCCTTCCTTTGGAGGTGATCTCCATTTTGTCTTCTCTGTCTCTTGTTTGTCCACGTATGCTGTCTCCCCCATTAGACTGGGAGCTCCTCAAGGGTAGGGACTGTCTTCTGCCTTTCTTTGTATCCCCAGTGCTTAGCACAGTGCCTGGCACGCAGCAGGCCCCTAATAAATGTTTATTGACTGACTAGCACTTACCCTATGCTCAGCGCTGGGGATACAAATCAAAACTCAAAAGTCAAAGAGCTTATATTCTAATTAGGGGAGAGAATGCACATAGGAGGTTTTAGCTTCAGGGTGGATGGGAGGTTTAGTGACCCATAGAGCACAAAGGCAGGGCTGTGGTTAGCTCAGGGTTCCATCGGTGTACTCTTGGGAAGGGAGTAGCCTGGTGGGCTCTGGATGAGCAGGGTTCAGAGTAGGGGGCAGTCCAGGGAGCCCCTTGGGAAACAAATTGTGATCAAGACATGGGGAAGTTTGATAACCACTGACAGAAAGAAGAAATGGGCATGAGCTAATTGTTCCATGGTGTCTTTATTGTTGAGAAACCCTCCTTTTGCCACCAAGGCCTGCTGCTGTGCAGCATTTTGAATAGACCAGTAGCCATGGGTGTTTTTAATCTTGCCACTGTCCATTTTCTCCTATTCCAGTGCCAATCATAGTAATCCTTGGCTCATTCTTTGGGAGTGATATACCCTGACATGAATTGGGATGTTTTGAGATGTTTGCTTCAAGTCTTTTGAACTTTGTCAGAGGCAGAAAGCTGGTTTGGAGTTAGTCTCTGAAAGTCTTATTTCTTGGAAATTGAAGATTTAGCAACAAACATAGCGATTTATAACAGATAGATAGATAGATAGATAGGTTTGGAAGAGGTAGAAAGCAGAGAAGAAGGGGCAGCTAGGTGGCGCAGTGGATAGAGCACCAGCCTTGAAGTCAGGAGGACTTGAGTTCAAATGTGGCCTCAGACCAAACACTTGTCACTAACTAGCTGTGTGACCCTGGGCAAGTCACTTAACCCCAATTGCCTAAGGGGGGAAAAAAAAAAGAAAGAAAGCAGAGAGGAAGATGATTGCTTTTTCCCCTCAAAAAATTGTTTTTCTAGACTTTTGCTGGTACTTTCTGATTGTTTTTTTTCTCCTTTTAGATGTTGCATATCTCTATGAATCTTTGAAAGCAAAGCCAGGCATATCCCCAGAACTCATTGGTAAGTAAAACTTGAAACAGAAGACTGGGGGAGAAGCTAGGAACCCTCGTGTCAGTACAAGTCTTTCAAATCTTTGCTTTTTCTGAAGTAGCAGCCTTTTCTGCCCGACCCCTGCACACACGCTCTTTCTGGTTCTTTGGTTGCAGAGGCTACTGGAGAAAATGTGTGCGACGTGACCAAAGATACCTCAGGGTCAGAAGGAAGCGATGATAGCCAGGTCATGCCATCCTTGCCCAATGATAAGTCTTGCTTTGAGGAACCACAGCCATCTACATCTACATCAGACCTCTTTAATACGTCCTCTACCTCTCTCCTGGAGTCTGCTGCTGCTGAGCGGGAGCGTCCTTCTAGACCTGGCGGTGAGTTCTTGGTTTAGGGGTGGGGGGGTGGATGACATTCACGAGAGTGATGCCATTGGGGTCTCCTAGCATTTCTGTTGTCATGAAGACAGAGGAAGGGTTTTTCTGATCATTTGAAGGTATTGTTAAGCATCATTCCCACCCTACAGTCTTTTAAGATGTGTGTTTGGTTTTTTCCTATGGGCAGTGGAATCCTGGAATTTAAGCTGCTTGAGATCGGGGACTCTGTCTGTATACAGGATGCCCCAGAAAAGTTTTACTAGCTTAAAATTGCACCACGACTTTTGAGGTAACCTTAATTTGTCAGAACTCTAGCTCTCAGAGTGGGCATGCTGGCAGCGGTAAGAATAGGCCCATTCTTCCCTTTAGGTGAGAGGTCAGGGAGAACTGAATCACCTGTAGCTAGCTGAAGGGGAGACAGTGCATTGTTGTGTCTCACAGATACTGCGGACAAGAATGGACTGTCTGTCTAGGGAGCCTTGCCTGGCGCTCAGCACAGCCTCTCAGGTCTGTAAGAGCCAGGCCCTGGGCCTCAACCCCACCTGCAGTGAGGGGCACGTCACTTTACACCTTGCTTACGATTTTATGCATTGCCTTTGATTTTAAGCTTCTGGAAGGCAAGGAACATATTTCTCTTGAGAGAAATGATTATTTCTGTCCTATATTAATAGCCAGTTAGTGAATTAGGACTAAGGTTTTTCCGCTTCATTTTCTCATTTAGAAATCAACCTCCATAGGCTATTCACACAGCCTTTGAAGTGCAGGGCTGAGAATGAGATGAAATATTGGGTGAGACAAACCCAACTGGAAAAGTTTAGGTAACAAAAGGTAAAGATATTTTAGTTTAGGTGAATTGGTGGATTCCAGCCCATTTTGTTTAAGTGAGACAAGTCTAGGCAAAAGTGGATTCTACCTTTTGTCTGGGTTACCCTAGATAGGGTGATATGGGTATAGGAGAAGTTCTTTAGCCAAGACTGGGTGATCAGAGTCACGTTCCCTCATTAGAATCAGCCCGCCTCTCATTACAGCATTCATTCTCTCATTACTGGCTAACCAGTCAGGGTTGATTTCCACGATCAGGCGCACCACCTTTTCAAAAGGCTTTATAAATATTGAAGGTTCCACAGGTTAGGTCTCTTTGATCAGATGAGCCCTTCTTGTTGAGTACTTGCTAGCTGTAGTTAATAACATTCATTGTAATTTACCCAGAAACTCTATCTCTTGGAAATTGTCACTTTCCACATCTTCTTCTTTTGTGTCTTCCATAGATGTTGTTGTGGTGTTGAGCATGTAGTACTTATTGGATGAATGACTCAAAGAGCCATTCTGTTAAATCCAGAATTGGTCAAAGTGAGCTTTTTGTTCTTTCTCATGTCAGTTGGCTTTTGACATTTGCTTGATCCATAATCGTAATAATAATAGTAACTTCCAAAAACATATAATGCTTCAAAGAGAGCATCACACATCTCTGTAAGATAGGAAGTGCTAATATTAGCTCCATTTAAATGGATGAAGCTGAGTTTGAACAACGTGCCCATGATTACATTGATAATTATTGTCTGAGATGGAATGGGACCCCAGGTTCTCTGATTCCAAGCCCAGATGGCTAATTTTTGGAGTTGACTTGCTTTCATCAAATGCCATCTTGCGCTAAAGTATTAAGGTAATAGTTGCTCATGTGGTACTTTGAGAGTCGAGGAACATTTTCCTCCTGATAAACCTCTGAGGTGGATAAGACAAGTTAATTGACTTGCTCAGGGTCACACAGATGGTAAAAAAGAGTGGGGAGTTTAACCCAATCTTCTAACTCAAAGTTTAGTGCCCTTAAGACACTATGCCAGGCATTTCATTGAGTTCAATTTCGCAAATCAGTTTGGTCTAGTAAAGCCAAAATTTACTGATGAGATGTGACTGTTTGAAAAATGTCCCTAGGGGCAGCTAGGTGGCACACACTTACTAGCTGTGTGACACTGGGCAAGTCACTTAACTCGAATTGCCTAAAAAAAAAAAAAGTCACTGAGTAAAACCTGAAATTCCCAGAACAAGTTGTATAGCATCTAGAGGTGATTCTCCTGCCCCCACTGCTCATTCACTCACTCTGTCTCTCATGGGCACACGTGCGTGCGCACACACACACAAACACGCACACAGCAGTCTACACTTTGAGCAAATTCACTTCAGCGAACATTTAAGCACTCACTGCAGAGGCCTGTCCTAGGTACCGGAGGAGGAAAAAAATTAATTTATCCAGTGAGTCACCATCTCTGGTCTCATAGTTCATGTTACAGTGCTTGACGTTGGCCCTTCTGTTCTTGCATTGGGCTGATTGATGAGAATTGCTAGTGCCTGTGGAAGCAGGTGATGTGATTTTGATAAAAACAGTTTTGGGGACTTTTATCTACCTCTAACCAGGTCTGTTAATGCATCAAAATCACAAAATCTGACATTTCCTCTATATTGTGTGTCATAAATGAACCTATTAAGAAATTATTTTATCTGTCTGTTCTGGCTCGCTTTGGAATTTGAATGGAAAATAGAGATTCCATGTTTCTGACTTGCTTTGAGAGGGCTTCAGCATAATGAGGTACATGGCTTTCAGCTAAGGAGCATCGTGTGTGAGTGTGTGTGTGTGTGTGTGTGTGTGTGTGTGTCCATGCATTATATTAATAACTGGTTTTCCAGTTAGTGTGTGAGCTGTGTATGTCAGCACAGTTTGTTTCCTGTCCTGGTTTGGGCCAGGTGATCCCTGAGGCCTTTTCCCAATCTCTCATCGGTGCTCCAGAAATACCTGACTGCTGGCAGGGAAGGCTCTTCAGCCAGATGAGAGCAAACAGGTGGCGTGTGGGCGCTGGGACTTGAAGTGGAGCGTTCTCTTAAAGGGGGTGGTGTAGTTCATGTCAGATGATCCCTCCTGATTTCTTTTCTTTTGCTCTTCTTCCTCTTCCTTAGAAGCCAGGTGTGTAAGCACATCACTTGAAGATCAGTATCAGTTTGTCACACGTGATGGCACCTCCACCTTCTTGTCAGCTTCTCTGGACAAAGAGGGAAAGTCAGCTTTTCTGTCCAAACCTCATGACTGGGAAGACGTGGGGCCTGCTAAGAAGAAAATGAAAGGAGGTTAGGTGATCATATTTCCTTTTTACACCATCATAAACCTATTAATCATCAACAAATACATTCAGATATGTAAACAAGAATAAAAAAGATCGCCATGAAACTAAATGTTCATTAGCGCCAGTCTGCTTAAGCAATTTTTTTTTGTTTTTCTGTTTTTTTGTTTGTTTGTTTGTTTGGGTTTTTTTGCTAGGCAGTTGGGGTTAAGTGACTTGCCCAGGGTCACACAGCTAGTAAGTATCAAGTGTCTTGAGGCTGGATTTCAACTCAGGTTCTCCTGACTCCAGGGCCGGTGCTCTATGCATTGCGCCATCTAGTTGCCCCTGCTTAAGCAATTTTTAACGTGTATATTATCTTAAACAAGATGGAAAAAAGTCATCCTGTTTCCTTCTATAGCTCTTTCTGAAATTTTTTTCTTTTGTTTCTTTTTTCTGAATTTTGTTGTTAATCTTATCATCAGTATTGTTTATAGAGTTGCATGTGTATCATATTATTTTGGTTCTGCTTTCATCATTGTTAGTCACTTAACAGAAGTTTTCCCATATTTCCTTGTATTCAATTCAGCAAGCCTTTATTAAGTACCTACTAAGGGCCAGGTACTATATTCTTCTATTTTTCATATTAGTCGTTTCTTCCGGCATAATTCCATCAATTCCTATGTTTGTCCATTCCCTAATCATTGGATACTTGAGCTGTTTCCAGTTTTTTGTTGATAGTGATAATGCTATTGGGAATATTTTTATACAGAGAAGTCTTATTGTCAATATGGTTGTTTTTTTCACCTTTAATTAAGTTTTATTTATTTTCAGGTCTGCATTCTCTTCCTCCAGCCTTCCCCCTCACAATGCTCCCCATTGAAAAAGCAAGAAAAACACAACCTATTACAAACACGTACAGTCAAGCAAAACAGATTCCCACATTGGCCATGTAGAAAACAAAACAAAATGTCTGTATCTGCACTCTGAGTTCCCCACCTCTTTGTGGAGGCAGATAGCAAGCTTCATCATGAATCCCCTGGAATTGTGGTTGTTCACTGTGCTGATCAGAATTCCTAAGTCTTTCAGAGTTATATGTCTTTACAGTATCGTTGTTATTGAAGAAATTGTTCTCCTGGTTCTGCTTATCATGCTGCTTCAGTTTATACAAATCTTACTAGGTTTCTCTGAAACTATGCCCCTCAGCACGATATCATAAAACATAACTTGTTCAGCCTTTCCTCAGTTAATAGGCATCTCCTCAATTTCCAGTTCTTTGCCACCACAAAAAGAGCTGCTGTAAATATTTTTGTATATGGGGGGCCTTTTCCTCTTTGTTTTATCTCTTTGGAGTATAGAGCTAGTATTTCTGGGTCACAGTTTGGTGCCTTTTTAGGCATAATTCCAAATTGTTTTCCATAATGACTGGACCAGTTCACAGTTCCACCAACAGTGCAACACATCGCACCCCACACACACTCCCCAGCATTTTCATTTTCTTTTTTTGTCATCTTAGCTAATATGATGGGTGTGAGATGGTACTCAAAGTTGTTTTCACATGGCTATTGATAACTTGAATTTCTTCCTCTGAAAACTGCATGTTTGTGTCCTTTGACCATTTATTATTGGAGAATAGCTCTTATAGTGAATATGACTCAGTTTCCTATATATCTTAGAAATGAAACTTTTTTCAGAGAAACTTGCTGCAAAGATTTTCCCCAGTTTCCTTCTTTTCTTCTAATTTTAGCTGAATTGGTTTTGCTTGTACACAAACTTTCTAATTTTATGTAATCAAAATTGCCAATTTGATCTTTTTTAAACTTCTCTATATCTTGCTTGTTCATGAACTCTTCCCCTCTGTCCATCCATCTGACTAGCATTTTCTTCCATGCTCCTCTGATTTGTTTATGATACTATCTTTTATGTCTAAATCAGGTACTCAAAAATTTTGAGTTTATCTTGGCATGAAGTGTGAGATACTGGCATATGCCTAGTTTCTGCCAGACTGATTTCCAGTTTTCTCGGCAATTTTTGTTAAACTGAGTTCTTGCCCCAATAGTTGGAATTTTTGAATGTATCAAGTCTGAAGCTACTGTGCTCATTTGCTTCTTTAAACTGTGTACCTAATCTGCTCCACTGATCAACTTCTCTGTGTCTTGCCCAATACCAAATTGTTTCAATAATTATAGTTTTTTAGTTTAGTTTGAGATCGGTATTGATAGACCCTTTACTTCATTATTTTTCATTGATTCTCTTGCTATTCTTGACCTTTTTGTTACTCCAGATGAATTTTGTTATTATTTTTCTAGCTCTATAAAGGAATCCTTTGGTAGTTTTACTGGTATGTCATTAAATAAGTAAATTAATTTAGGTAGTTTTGTAATTTTTATTTCACTGACTTGGCCTACCCATGAGCGATTAATATTTCTCCATTTAATTAGTAAACATTAAGTGCCTGCTATGTGCCAGGCACTGTGCTGAGTGTTGGGGATACAAATATGAAAAAAGACAGTCTCTGCCCTTAGGGAGCTTACAGTCTAAGGGGGGAAGACACCATACAAAAGGAGGGTGAAAAGCTGTGGTGGTGAGGAGAGGTATCCAGTCACTGGGGCGTGGGGACAAAGTCAGTCAGAGCAGGGCAGCCAGGTGAGAGCTGAGTGTTCTCCTTCAGTGGAGGTTTGGAGTTCACGGCTGCAGCCTCTGATCAGAGAGAGAGGGAGGAGTGACGAGAGAGAGTCCCAAAGCTGATGAGGTTGTTCACTGGATCTGGCATTATTTGTGTAGTTTTTTATGTTGTGTTCATATAGTTCCTGTGGGTGTCTTACCAGGTATACCACTGGGTTCATATTTTGTGTAACTGTTTGATTTTTTAAAGTTGCCATTGATATTTTCTGTGTCTGACATTACCGTAGTACCCCATATATCTCTCTCTCCCCATCCCACATAGCCGTCCTATATAATAAATAGTATTTTTTGGAAAGGGGGGAGAATTCAGCACAACTGATTAATATATTAAAAAAGTCCCCAAGCATGTGCCATGTGTGACCCTGTGCCCTTCCCACCTCTACACAGGGCTGGGGTGGGGGAGATCTTCTCATACCTCTTCATTTGAGTCGCACTGAATCTTTACAGTTGCATCACATTTACTTTGTTCTTTTTGGATGTGCCATTATTCTTCCCACTCAGGTTGTATTGACTGTGTGTGCAGTTTTCTTGGCTGCTCTTCCCTCTGCATCATTTCACAGTGATGTTCTGTTATGTTTCTGTGCCATGGTTTGTTTAGCCATTTCCCAATCAATGGACATCTACTTTGTTTCTAGTTCTCATGTGTCACAAAAAGTGCTATTATAAATATTTTGGAATAAGTGGGGCCCATTTTACTTATCAGTGGCTTCCAGTAATAGAGTCTCTTGTTCAAAGAGTAGAGTCATTTTACTCACTTTATTTGCGTAATTCCAATTGCTTTCCAAAATGATTGTTCCATTTTACAGTTCCACCAACAATGTATGAGTGTACCTATCTTCCCACAACCCCTCCAACATTGACTATTGTCGTTTTTTGTCATTTTTGCCAGTTTGCGGGGTTTGAAGTAAAACCTCAGAGTTGTTTTGATGTGCAGTCTTTTAGTGATTTGGAGCGTTTTTTCACGTGGCTGTGAATCTTCATGTTTCTTTTTTTTTTTAATTCTTTTTTTTTTTTTTAAAAGAACTGTTTGTTCATAGCCTTTGACCATTTATCTATTGGGGAATGGCTGTCAATTTTATTTACATTAATTAATGTAAACAATTAACGTTTCTTAATTAATATTTATATTACTATTAATTGTAGAAATAATGATTAATTAATTTTAATTAATTTATTATTAATATTTATTGTTTATGTATCTTGGGTACCAAACCATTATCAGAGAAATTTGATAAAAAGATTTTTTGGCATTCCACCCCTTCCTGTCTTATCCAAGTTGCATTAATATTATCTATGCTGAAGCTTTGCAGTTTCAAGTTCCCTCTTTTGCTATTAACACAGTATTATGTTTCTTCAGTTACTTTACTTCAGTCTTTTTTCAGAGGTGGCCCTGTTCCCACTGGCTCTCTTCTCCTCACCCCTGAATCCCCTCTTCTTATTTGTTACACCTTTCCCTTTAGGGTTTTGTTTGTTAATTCCTTTTTCTCTCCTGTTTTTATCTGGTTCTACATTTGTTCCCACTCTTTTTTTCCCTTTCAGTCAGATAGATTCCCCTTGCCTCTCCTCGCCTTTAGCTAGTGCTGTTCATTAGTTTTTAAATTTCTTTTTTTTATGTCCCTTTCCAAAAAAGATTCTCTCACTCTCTTCATTATCCGTCTTCTCTTTCTGTTTACTCTAGATGCTCATTCTCTGGTTCATGACCCTGTAACTGTCTGGTCTCTCTTTACTTCATGCAGTCATAGCTTCCCAGGTATCTATTCTAGGCTCTCTCTTCTAGATACTTTCTGTCACTGCCTTGTAGGGCTTACCCCATGGATTCCTCTTTTCCATTCTGCCTCACTCCCAGAATAGTGCCCATTGTTGTAGGGTCAGAGAGGACACTGCTCCATGGTAGGGCCATTCCCCCACCCTGTCCTTAATTATGCAGCCTACCACTAATGTAGTCCCTTTCTTGTGGACTTTTTTTTTTTACATTTGCCTAGAAATCTCCCTGTATCGGTCCTCCCCCCCATCTCCGCTCCCCCCACCCAGGCCAGGGCCCTGCCCTCAAACAGCTTACATTCTTCTCTGGACTTTTTGGGAACCTGCGTCATGAGCAGGGCCCTTGACTCCTGTCCCATTGGTCAGCAGAATTCATGCATCAACATAAGAGGCAAGGCGTGTCCTCTCACTGCCCTCTTTCTCTTCCAGATGGGGACAATAATCTGAGTCTTCAGTTGTTTGTCACAGACCAGTGTAAAAACAGCAGGGCCATTCCTGAGGAAGTGAAAGCAGCAGACATGAAACCAGACAAAATGGAAGAAACTCTCACTTGTATTATTTGTCAGGAGTTACTACACGACTGTGTGAGGTGTGCTGCCGCTGTGGTGGCGGGGTGTGAGGGGCCTGGGGCAGCTGGGACAAGAGTGAAGTCGGGGGTGTTTTCTGAGAAATTTCTAATTCTTTCTTAACTGTAATAGAGAGTGTGGGTGTGCCCTGTTACTGGTGCCCACTTCTGCCATGCTGTCTGGTTAGAGTGCCCCTTCTTCCAGTACTCTGGGAGATGGATGGCCCCAGGAGGCTCATAGGGTCAGAGCTGGGTGGACTCTTGGAGACAGGACAGTCCAGCCAACTTGTTTTATGGACTAGGGTAGAGGTGAGGAACCTGCAGCCTCAAGGCCACATGTGGCCCTCTAGGTCCTTGAGGGTGGCCCTTTGATTGAGTCATGTGGCTTCGAGACCATAAGTTCCCCACCCGTGGGGGCAGTGAAGTCACAGGGCAAAGTCCCTCCTAGGATATAGGAGATCTGGGATTGAACTTGGGTCCTTTGAGTCACAATCCAGTGTGTTTTCTCCCCTACCACACTGAAGTCAGTGCATGTGGGCAGAAGGTGCCAGCAAGCACCCTTCCAGCACGACCGGCCCACGTGATGAATGAGCTGTGTTGTCTTTATGTTCAGTCTGCAGCCCTGCATGCACACCTTCTGTGCCGCTTGCTATTCAGGTTGGATGGAACGGTCCTCTCTGTGCCCCACGTGCCGTTGTCCAGTTGAACGTATATGCAAAAACCACATCCTGAACAACCTCGTGGAGGCCTACCTTATCCAGCACCCAGGCAAGTACAAGGCTGCCCGTCCTTAGGAACCAATAAAATAAGGCAGTGGCCGGGGTCCTCAGTGCTCCGGTCTGTTTGTTTCTGCCGCCTTCTGCTCTGAGGTAGTTTTCTCTTGAACCCTAGATAAGTGCCGTAATGAAGAGGATGTGCGTAGCATGGATGCCAGGAATAAAATCACGCAGGACATGCTGCAGCCAAAAGTCCGAAGGTCCTTTTCGGATGAAGAGGGAAGTTCTGAGGACCTGTTGGAACTGTCTGATGTGGACAGTGAATCTTCAGATATCAGGTGACTTACCTGCTGGGGCATAGCAGAAGCTCAGCCTCTTGGCTGTCTCTGTGGACTTTGGGATCCTCCACAGTGCTGGCCTGCAGTCATTGGAGGTTGTGGCTTTATTTGACATACTATTATTTTTTCACAAAAAATTCTTATTCCTTTTTTGGGTTATTGACAAAATAATGGAATCAGAGTTGGAAGGAACCTTTAAGTTTAGCTCTCCAGACCAATCTCCCACCTGTAGCAGGCCCCCTTTCTTAGCAGCCGCTGGCAGCTAATCATCCTGTCTGCTAGAAACTTCCAGTGACAAAAAAACCACCACTTTCCAAGGCAGGACATAAAACTGAAGCAAACAGTGGTTAAGTGACTTGTCCCAGGGTCATGCAGCTAGTGAGTGCCTGAGGCTGGATTTGAACTCAGGTCTTCCTCCGTCCAAGCTGGTCACTCTTTCCAGTTCTTTCTTTTGTTTGGACAAAATCTGCTTCCTTGTAACTTCCACGCACTGGTCCTTTTGGTCCTACTTCCGTTCTCTTAAGCTGTAAGAAGGCTATTATTGTGCCTCACCTAAGTTTTCTGCCCCTGCTTTTTTTAACTGTTTATCACATGTGACTTCTTCAGACCCTTTGCCTCCTAATCCCTCACTTTCCATTTGTCAGCATTCCCCTTAAGATGCAATATCCAGAACTGAAAATAGTCCACCAGACATTGGCTGACCAGTATGGCATATGTGTCTGGTTTGGGACATTACGGTTTTTTGCCAGTTCAGCCTAAGATTGTATTAACTTTTTTGACAGGTCACATTACCCACCTGACTCATGTTGAGCTTATAGGAAACTAAAACCTGTTATTATTTTTCCTGTGAACTGCTATTAAATCTAAGTCACCCCCATCCTGTACTTTGCATTGATTTCAAGATTATGGGGTTTTGTTGGCGCAGTACTTGGCCTGCGGTATAGATCTCAACCCACCTTCATCTTAGGAGTGTTTGAGAGTTGCTTTGGCTAAAAAAAGCGTTACCTGGAGTCCAGCCTGGTAGTGATCCCCCCAGAATCTTGCCAGGCTGGGCCTTGTACAACAGCCATACGGTCACCATGATGGTGTGTATTTATCCTTGTTATATTTCATCTTATTAGTTTGGGTTCCATTTTCCAGTCTGTTGAGATCTTGTCCAGTTCTGATTCATTTATATAAAATACTACCTATTCCTTCCAGTTTCATATTGTCTGCATGTTTGATTAAGTGTATCATAAATAGTTTGATCTAGATCACTGATAAGAATGTGTAATAGATTAGGGTCCAGAACGCAATCAGTAGGGCTTTACTGAAGAACTCTCTCCATGTGGACATCATTCAGCTCTCTGGGTGAAATTGTTCAGCCAGCCCCAGTTTTTAAACTGTGCTGTTTATCATTGAGCCCACATTTCTCCATAGAAGATTTTGTCATGCCTTGTTGAAGTTAAGAAGCAATAGAGTTTAGCATTTCTCTGATCTGCCAGCCTAGTAACCCATTTAAAAAAAAAAGAATTAGGTCAGTTTGACTTAACTTCTTTGTGAATTTGTGCCTGTTTCTATTGTATTTAATAATCATTTTAAGAATCTTAACCCTAATTTGTTAAAGTGACTATATGTTGGAGGTGAGGCAATAGTCTCAAGAATAGTCTTCTTGAATTAGAAAACTTTGATAACTGGTCACTTTCCTGAGTTGGATGTAAGGAATCCCCATTGCCCAGTATAGTATTCTGAGGTATCCTGACCCAGATGTCTAGTGTCTAAATACCATACGTGTTGGACATCTTCTGTACTGGCCATAAACCTTATGAGCTCTATATTAATGAAATCCATATCACTTCATGCTGCCTCGCCTTGTTCTGTGGTGATACCTGTGAGTGTGTATATGCTCTGTGAATACAACTCTCGATGGGTACAATTTGCCACCCACCCACACCTTCTCACCCTGTGTAGTTCTTACCTTTGTCTTCTCATGAATCTTTCATAAAGAATCTGCCGATGTTCTAAAGAGGTCTTCCTCTAGGTCTTTTAACATTTCACACTGACCGGTTGTCTCCGTGCTGGAACTGGCCAGCTCATTTGGCTATTAACTGAAAGTTCGGTGGTTCTAGCCTGCCATCATGGATGCTCTGATTATCCTCTGCTACCAAATGTAATTAGGAAGGAAAAAATTCCATAGGAAGCTCATAATGGCGCCCTTGTGAACCTTACAATAAAATAATGGAGGCAAGACAGATAAAATCCAGTAGGCTACTCTACTTAAGTCCTAGCGTAATGCCCCATTATAGCAGAGATTCGACCCTTACTTCTTCATGCCCAACCCAGTAGAAAATAAAACTCTGGTAACTCCTACCAGTCTAGAAAGGGCTGGCATTGGGCTTGTGTGTCTCTTACGTGGGGACCAGCCCAGTTAAATTCAGGGAGGCTCATTACCAGAATGGCCACAGGGAGTGATGAATTTTTCAGCCACAGCAACTCTATCTATTAAGTTCATAGAAGGGGTTGCAATCAGCATCAGTAGAGGGAATATTACCCACACCAAAGTTACAATGGACTTTTGAGGTATTAAAGTAGATAGACCCATACCTGCAAGGAAAATAAGATACAAGAGTACAAGAAAGAAAAGTGTATTAGGATGGTGCTCAGTGACTAGGATGTTCTTGGGTATGGAGGAAAGTGGAAAATTGTGGACTGCTGGGTTGTTTTGAAGGTCATGATTGGAAGTTTACTCTTTTTTTTTTTAATTTTTTTTCATTAGATTTTGGGGGGGGGGAATGGGGGGTTAAGGGACTTGCCCAGGGTCACACAACTAATAAGTGTTATATGTCTGAGACCGGATTTGAACTCAGGTCGTCCTGATTCCAGGGCCGGTGCTCTATCCACTGTGCCACTTAGCTGCCCCCAGAAATTAACTCTTAATGCAGCCATGACAGAGTGTCATTGGAGAAGCATGAGACAGAGTGTTTGGGTAGAGACTGAACACTGAGAGGCAGCAGGAAGGAGTTTACAGCAAAATAGGCTTGCCACATTGTGACAGCTAGGACAGGAACCAAGGTCTTAGACATGGTGACAGCAAGGAGAGGGCAAATCCAGCCAAAGTTGCAGAGGAGGAAGCCGGCAGAATTTTCAAGTTCTCTCTATGTAAGGGCAAAAGAAGGGCAAGTGTAGGCTCTCTGGGGTGTCAAAGTTGTTCTAAGGTTTCTGCCATTCCAGCACTGAGTTTCAAAGTACCAAAAAGGAATTTTTTTTTTTTTAGTTACATTTTGAGTTCTGAGTTGTGTCTCTCCCTCCTAGTTCCGCACTAGAGAAGCCCAACATTTAATATAAGTGTCTTCGTGGAACCGTACACTACCTGCTTCTGTATATCAGTTCTTTCTGTGGAGGTGGTGAGCATTTTCCGACATAGGTCCTTCGTAACTGATGTGAACATTCCTGTTACTCAGAGTAGCTTAGTCTTTGCCATTACTCTTCACATAATATTGCTGTCACTGTATACAATGTTCTCTTGATTTTGCCCATTTTACTCTGCATTATGTCATGCAAGTCTTTCCATATTTTTCTAAAACCAATATGTTCCTCATTTCTTACAACACAGTCGTGTTCCATCATGGTCATAGAACACGACTTGTTCTGCCACTCCCCACGTGATAGGCCAGAAAACGAATCTTAAATTCCATTTATCCAGCTGAGGGTTCTGTTGATCACATACAAGTCAGGCTATGCAAGATCCATGAGATCCTGACTGCTTCACCATTACTCAAGGCCTCAATATTGGTTCTGTTTTGAAAATAAAAGATAAGACCAGACAACCAACCTTCCCAGAGCTTTTTAGATTGGGTTTGTATGGCCTGCGTAGGTTTGGATCTGTAGAATTCTATGCGAAGGGAGACAGCAGGACCATGGGATTATAGGTGTAGAGTTGGAAGGGCCCTCAGAATCCTCAAGTCAAAAAGCACCTACTATGTGCCAGTCAGTGTGCTAAGTGTTGGAAACCCAAAGAAAAGCAAAAGTGAGTCAGCTGTCAAGGAATTCACAGTCTAATGAGGAGACAACGTGAAAATAATTATGTAGAAACAAGATATAGACAGGGATACATTGGAGATAATCTCACTAGGAAGGCTCTAAGATTAAGAAGGATTAGGGGCAGCTAGGTGACGCAGTGGATAGAGCGCTGGCCCTGGATTCAGGAGGACCTGAGTTCAAATCCAGCCTCAGACACATAACACTTACCAGCTGTGTGACCCTGGGCAAGTCACTTAACCCCATTGCCTAGCCAAAAAAAAAAAGAATAATAAGATTAAGAAGCATTGGAAAAAGTTTCCTGCAAAAGGTGAGACTTTAGCAGAGACCTGAAGGACATCAGGAGACAACAGATGAGGAGGGAGAGAATTCCTGCCATGAGAACGAGACAGCAGTAAAAATTCTCAGAGAAGTGGGGGTAGTGCATCTGGTTTAAGGGACAGCGAGGAGGCCTTTGTCACTAGGTCATCGAGTACATCAAGGAGGAGGAGGAAGTGAGGTGTGGGAAGCCCAGCAAGGTTGGCAGGGGCTAGTTATGAAGGGCTTTGGCGGTCACACGTGATAGTACATTTGATTCTAGATGTCATAGGGAGCAGTGGCTTTTCTAGATATCATAGGGAGCAGTTTATTCAGTAAGAGAGTGACGTGTCAGACCTGCATTTTAGGAAGATCACTTTGGCAGCCAAGTGGAGGATGGACTGAAGAGAGGAGAAGCTCGAGGGAGGGAGACCAACCTGTAGGCTATTGCAGTTGTCCAGGCAGGGGCCGGTGAGGGCCTGCTTCAGGCTGGTGAGAGTGCCAGAGAAGAGAAAGATGAGATGTTACAAAGGTAGAAGTGACAGGGCTAAGCAACTGATTCGATATTGAAGGTAAAGAAGGTAATTGAAGGTAAAGAAGAGTCAGTAGTTGAGGGTGACACCTAGGTGGTGATGCTGATTGATAGGGATGATGGTGGTACCCTCAACAGTAATAGGGAAGATAGGAAGAGGGTAGGAATTGGGTAGCAGAGAGATGATGGATTCAATTGAGTTCAAGTCATCTATGGCAGGACTTCTTAAACTTTTTCCACTCGAGACCGCTTCAGCACTTCTAAGCACTGGTCTATGGGACATCCACTTCTCGGTGGATTGGTAAATTGGAGTCCAGGAGATAGGTTAGAACTGGACAGATAGATGTGAAAATCTTCAGCCTAGAGATGGTAAATCCATCCATGGGAGCTGCTGAGACCACCCAGTAAAGGAGTGCAGAGAGAGAAGAGAAGAGGGCCCAGCACAGAGCCTTGGGCAGCATGGATGGTTCCACCCATACTTAGCACATATGATGTGGATGAAGATCCAGCAAAGGAGACTGAGAATGAACAGTTAGATCTCCAGTTGATAAATGGTCAAAGGATATGAACAGGCAGTTTTCAGATGAAGAAATTAAAGCCATCTATAGTTATATGAAAAAATGCTTTAAATCACTATTGATTAGATAAATGCAAATCAAAACAACTCTGAGGTACCACATCACATCTATCAGATTGTCCAGGATGATAAAACAGGAAAATAATAAATGTTGGTGAAGATGTGGGAAAATTGGAACACTAATGCATTGTTGGTGGAGTTGTGAAATGATCCGACCATTTTGGACAGCAATTTGGAACTATGCCCAAAGGGCTATAAAAATGTGCCTACCCTTTGACCCAGCAATAGCACTTCTAGGGCTGTTTCCCAAAGAGATCATAAAAATGAGAAAAGGACCCACATGTACAAAAATATTTATAGCAGCTCTTTTTGTGGTGGCCAAGAATTGGAAATTGAGGGGATGCCCATCAATTGGGGAATGGCTGAACAAGTTGTGGCATATGAATGTAACAGAATACTATTGTGCTATAAGAAATGATGAGCAGGCAGACTTCAGAAAAACCTGGAAAGACTTGTATGGACTGATGCTGAGTGAAGTGAGCAGAACCAGGAGAACGTCGTACACAGTAACGGCCACATTGTGCGATGACTAATATTGATAAACTTAACCATTCCCAGCAATACAAGCATCTAAGACATCTCCAAAGGCCTCGTGGTGGAAAATGCTGTCCACATTCCAAAGAAAGAGCTATGGAGTTTGAATGCAGATCGAAGCATACTATTTGCTCTTTTTTTTCTTCTGTTTTGTTTCGTTTCCTCTTTCTTATGGTTCCTCCTATTGGTTCTAATTCTTCCTTACAACATGACTAATGTGAAAATTTAAAAAAAGAGAGAACCTGATAAATGTTTCTTAATAAAAATAATAATAATAAATGGCTGGCTTTAAAAAAAAGAATGAACAGTTAGGGAGGAGGAGAGGCAGGAGAGAGCAGAGGTATCTGGCTCAGCCTCATTTTAGAGATGAGGAAGCTGAGGCCCATGGAGGTGAAGGAGATTTGGCCAAGATCACAAAGGTGGAATTTGAACCCAGGTCTTCTGACTCTCAAGCCATTGCTTCTCCACCATCCCACAGGAGCCCTGCACAGATGCTCCATCCTCAGTGTAGCAGGCCAGAAAGGAGGTGAAGCATGCTCACGACAGGGATTTTTTAGGCATTTTTATCTGTCTATCCCCCCTCATCATCGGTGTCTCTGAGGAGGGAGCTCACGGTAGACTGAACGCTGTTTGTCTTTCAGCCAGCCATACGTTGTCTGTCGACAGTGCCCTGGTTACAGGAGGCAGGCCATGCAGCCTGTCCCCTGCCTGCTGCCCGAGGGTGAAGGAGGTGCTTTCGAGGCCCCTGGAGACGCCCCCTCCACGTCTGCCAGCTTTCCTGCGGGTGAGTGATGTCAGCGTAGTCCCCTGAGGCTCAGGTTGTGCTGCCACTGCTCTGGAGGCCGGAACCCCTCATTTCTGTGTATCCTGGAGAGGCGAGAAGAGGGCTGGATTTGGAGTCTGAGTCCCCGCTCCGTCATTTGTCAGCTGGGGGACCGTAGCCAAGTCGTTTTGTCCTTGTGAGCCCCGTGTTCCCCATCTGTAAAATGGGGATAATTTGACTGGCATTGACTGCCTCAGCGCTGTACAGAGAGTATTCGGAAATGGGAGCTGTTAGGGTCAGGGAGGAAAGTATTCCATAGAAGTGAATTTTCCAGAGAAATGATGGTTTTCCTTTAAAGTTCTAATAGTTTTAGTTTAACTGTTTTAATGGAAATCCTTCTAAAGTATATTTTATCCTCTTTTCCCTGCATAAAGAGGGTGTCCTAGCTCCAAATCCTATGATCTGATTCCACCAGCTCAGCTCTTGATGACCTAGCCCAACTCTGTGCCTGCTCTTTCATTTTTCTGTTTCCTCCTGGCTGTCAGCTGTCACCCTTCGCTACCATCGTGTGGTTCCCATTGTAGTGTCCCCGTCCCCCCTCCCGCTCCCTTTCAGTTTGCTGTTTCTCGTCTGCTTTGGCCTTATAAATAAACAAGCCGAGGCATCAGGAAGCTGTGTGCTGGCAGCCAGAGCCAAGACCTGCCGTGCTTTGTTTAACCGACGAGCATCCCTTTGGGTGGGATGAGAGCAATAAGGGATGACTGCCACCAGACCCGTTTTGGGCCCTTCCGGGACTCCAAAGGTTACAGATCCTTCAGATGTAGTGAGAAGGAATACCCTCTTCTCCCCTTCATTAGAGTCCTCTAAAAAGTGCAGGGTGACGGTAGCTTGTTCAGGGAAGGAGTACTGAGGTCGTAAGGATAAATGGTGCTTGGGTGAATAGTTAACAAAACACATAAAGGAGTTTCTGAATAGCTCTCTTTAATTCTGAACTAATTTCTTTCACTTTTGGTAAAGGTCTGACTTCCATCTTAACCATTGATTGCCCAGTCTCTTCTCCTGTAACATGTGTCCTTTGGAAAGCGTAAGGGTGGAGGTGGAAGGAGGCCAGAGACACAAATCAGAATTCCATTGAAGTCTCAGACATTCAGTACCTCCTATGTGGAGAGCACTGTGCTGGGCACTGGGGGAAAGAACATTAGACGGGACGTGGTTCCTTCCTGTGGAGAGCTTAGAGTCAGTCTGATGTCAGGGCATGTGACATACCAGTAACTATGTGACAAGTGTCTAACAGCGTTGTATAAAGAGAGGTGGGGTGCAGGGAGAAAAGAAGGCGCCTGCAGCCAGAGGGGTTAGAGGGCATTCCAGGCATAGGAATCAGGGTGAACAAAGGCACAATGGTAGGAAAAGCGCAGGGCATGTATTAGTAGTTATACTAGTAATAATAATACCAATAACTGGCATTTATTATAGCAATTTAAGGTTAACAGTTAACACATTATCTCATTTGATCCTCATGAGAGTCCTGTGAGGCAGCTACTACAGGTATTATTATCCCCATTTTACAGATGAGGAAACTGAGGCTCAGAGAGGTTAAATGACTTGCCCACAGTCATACAGCTAGTAAATATCAGAGGCGGGATTCGAGTCCAGGTCTCTGCTGACTCCAAGTCCAGCACTCTTTCCACTATGCCGTTCTGTACAGGGGATGGTAAGTAGTCCAGTTTGGGCAGAGCTGAGATTGTGCCTATGGGGAATCCCATGAGATAAAATGAGTATGTGGAGGGCCTGAAATGGTAGGATAGGGAGGCTAAACCTGATTCCACAGGTAACAGGGAGCTGTTGGAGTTGGGGCAGAGGAGGAACAGGTGCATCAAGAAAAGGAATCTGACAGCTGGGGAGAAGTCCAGGTCAGCATGTATATTGTGAGGCAGGTGGAAAGGAAGGCCCACATTCAGTGAGGACAGTGTGAAAAGGGGAGGTGACTGGTGCTGGTGAAACCGAGGGCCTGAGTGTCAGGAAGAGGAAGAGAGAACACCAAGGTTTCAAAAATTAAAAAAACTGAGTAAATGTGATGTTATTGATTAAAACAAAATCTGAAGAGGTGCTCTTTGGGGAGGTGGGCAGGGTGGGGTGGAGGTAATATATCCATCTTGGACATAATGAGTTTTTGAAAGTTGCTAATAGATTATCCTGGCAGAATTGTCCTGTGGGCAGATTTGAAACTTAGGAGGAAAGTCAGGGTCAGAGAGTCATCTGCAGAGATGATGTGGATGAGATGAAAGCTGAGTGTATGAACCCGCTGAGATAGAGAGAAGAAGAAGGCGGGGCCAAGGACAGAATGCTCAGAAACACTCACCTGCAGTGGTTGGGAATGTAAGCCAAAATAAGGCAGGAAGGCATCCTAGTCAGCAGGTCTGACCTCGGGAGACAGGGTGGTTTTCTTGCTCCCTGGAGTCTTTCTCTACAACATAAGTGGGGTCCCTATCTAGCTGAAAATCTAAGGACTTTTCCCACGAGGCAAAGTGCATTGTGTTGATACTGTGGCTCTGTGATAGCTCTGAGAGGCTCTTTTGCCCCATGGAAATAGACTTGTCTTTCCTTGTCTAGGTAGATGTTCCTTATACATTCTGGAATTTTGCAAGAATCAGTCAGGACATTTGCCCTTCCCCACACCTGCAGTACCTCTTTAATTCTCCATGCTCGGCAGTCACGCCTGCCTGTTCTTTCCATGCACAGGGACAGGTCATCTCATCAGGGGCACTGAGGCCTCGCTTACAGTCTCCCTACTTGTCATGGGTCTCGTCCCCCTGGTAGGCATCTCCGTTCTATTTCTAGCCCGGTCATTGTTCTCCCTGGCAAGAAAAGAGAAGCAAAATACAAGTTAGGCAGTTCTCCCTTCCCCCCTTCTTCTGCATCAGACCATTCTTTGATCTTCTTTTCCCCCAAGAAAGCTTAAAAAATACTTGGCTGTTGTAAGCTTTCCTCGCCAGCCTTAGCTCACGGAGCACTTTCTATATTCTTCCAGGATCTGTCCTCCTCTGTTATGTACCCTTGCTACCATCTCTTACAGATGCCTTTGTAAAATCTAAATCGGTTGATGGCTCCTTTTTTTCATGCATATGGACCCCTTTGGATAACTCCCCTTCTCTTCCTTATGGCACTCTTTGTCTTTACAGATCTTCAGAATTTCACTCTTTGGTTTCCCCATCCCTTCCCGGCCAACTTCCCCTTTAGAATTTCAGTCCATATTTTCTCCAAACCTTTTGAAATCTGCTTTGCAGAAATCTGGGCTGTATGTCAGACTTTGCTCAGTTTTTCTTAGCTTTTCTACGACAAATTCTCAGATAGAATAGATGTTACCTCCTTCCAAAAGTTCCCATCATTTCCATTTCAGCAACCATTTCTTCCTTCTTGTTGACAATCAGATTAAGACTGGAAGTTCTTCTCACTGGTTCCTTCACATTTTTACCAGCCCTCCTAAAGGTGTGCTCCATCCCTGGTCAGGAGCCTGCCATTCCTGTCTTTTAAGCCGTGGTCAGGTCATTTATAGCTTATCCTCAGAAACTGTCTTCTAAACCAGCTGCTCCCTTCCCAGATGTGCTTGTCTTTTACTGGCAGCAGTCATGAAGACTCGGTGTAGACACTTAAGGCCTTCCATTTCTCAGCCAAGACACACGGTCATCAGCGGAGCCTTCCGCACTCCTTCGGCAGGATGGTCCTGTGGTTGGACGAGCTGTTGGGGTTCTCTGATTTGACAGATCGCTGTCTCCGGACCCCACTGTTCTCTTCCTCCGAATCTTCCTGGGTGAATCGTCCCTGACAGCAGCACCCGTGATGAAGTGTGGCCTCTCTGGCAGAACCTGGCAGCGTGCATTCCTCAGCCTGCACGTTCAGTTTGTGTCCTCATTCCCTTTCTCCTCCTCACAGGCTTCCACCCTCCATCTCCTGATGCAGGTCAGGATCCCCCTCCCCTTCCCTCAGATACTCTTTTCTTTGTTTTCACATTGAGGCTATTCCTTTTTTGTTTTTGTTTTTCTTTCTTAATAAAAGGAACACTTTATTCTGCCTGTTAATTGGAGAGTGGAGAGGCATTCTTTGAGCCCCATTACCTTCCCTCCCAGGAGGGAGATTAGCCTGCACTTTGAGCATTTGAGCATAGGTAAAAAATAGTTTGGCCGTAGCAAAAGGACAGATAGTTATGGAGGTCACTGCATGTTCTCGGTGTTCTGTTGTCTGCAGCAATGCCCCTAAGTATATTTAAGTGTATCCCTTAAGACAGGGCTTGGTTGTATCATGTGTGCACAGATACTTGTGGAATGAGGTCAGGTTCTCTGATCCATTTGAAGGGAAAGAGTCTCTTGTACCTTGGCAGGAAGAACAATACGTGATTTGTTTTCTTAGTTTGTAACTTAATTTTTGAGCCCATTCTTTTCTTTATGTAGACCCAGGAGAATAACTCCTAATATTTAGGTGAGTCAGGTTTCTGGGCCCTCACTTAAGCGAGCATTTACTAATCAGCATGCACACGTAAGGGATGGTGGTAAGTGCTAGGAGCAGAGATGAATAGGACACAGTTGCTATTTTCGAGAAGCCTACGTTCTGTGAGGAAAGGAAGTCAGCCGTCAGTGTCTCTAATGCAGCGTGGTGTGTGCGAAGTCCACCGGGGGGGGCGGGGTAGGAGGTGTGAGGAAAGCTGTGGGGAAGGGAGAGGGCACTTCTGGCTGTGGAGGACATCAAGAAGCCCGGGTGGTCACGGGTGCCTTGGAGGAGGAGAGGGATGTCCGCAGGTGCGTGATGCGGGGCTCAGCACGCTGATGGGGGCTTCCGCGGTCTCACTTTGTGCTCACCCCTGACTCTGGTCTGTGATCTAGCCACCCAGGACTATGTGTGTCCCTCACAAGGAAGTCACGCCATATGCACTTGCTGTTTCCAGCCCATGCCAGACCGACGAGCCGAGCGGGAGCAGAACCCGCACGTCGTTGCCCCACAGCAGTGTAAGTGAGGCTGCTTGCAGCCCCGCTCCAGACAGACTGTTGCTCTAGGGGAAGGGGCTTGGAAGGATGGGCCTGAGCTTCTCCACTGCCTTTACCCAAAGTCCTATGTCCTATAAACTGCCCAGAGCCCAGTGTGCTGTGGTCGGCCCAGCCCTCGGTCATCATGCAGACGCTGTTTGGGGCCTCCGTGGGTGGGTTCACTTTCTCTGGGCTGCTGAGGCCCAGGCCTGTCACTGGCTGCAGGGCCTGCCATGGACAGTGCTGACCTCGTGGGTGTCTGATGCATTTTTCCTTTGTGTCCCGCAGGCGCCGTGTGCGCACAGCCTTTCTGCCACCTGTACTGGGGCTGTACTCGGACGGGCTGCTCGGGCTGCCTGGCACCATTCTGCGGTAATGACAGAGCTGAGGAGTCCCTCCGTTGCCCAGGAATGGGCTTTTCCTTTGTGTATTTTCTCTGTGAGCTTGAGGGTATCATCAGGCAGTCCATACACATTTATCAAGCCCCAGGCATATGTGCCAGGAACTGGGCTGAGTGCTGGGGATATGAAGAAAGGTAAAAGACAGTCCCTGCCCTCAAGGAGCTCACAGTCTAACAGGAAGACAGCATGCAAATAAGCATGTGTAAACAAGCTGCATAGGATAAATTAGAGAGAATCAACCGAGGGGAGGCATTAGAAGTGAGAGGGAGGGGAACGGCCTCCTTTAGACCCGGGGGGGGGGGGGGGGGGGGGGACCTGAAGCGGATTGAAGCCGGGAGGGGACAGTGAGGGAGAGGGTTCCATGACAGCATCATTGAGGTTCGAGGAAAGGGGACGTTTGCCTTTGTTGCCAGGTTAGACTCCCATTTTCATCTCTTTCACCTCTCATACTGTCTCTACCAGTGTCTTGCTTTGATGCCTCATTGTAATGTGGTGATGAGCCTGGATTCTTGCAGCCACATATCTGCTAAGCACAAGTGTGGGCAGATCCTTCCAAGGCAGAAACCTTCCAGAACCATCCCAGTAACAGGGGATCCATTCAGCTAGGCTCAGAGAGACCCATTGCCAGGGTTGATGAATTTTGGGGTCGCAGCAGTTCTTCAAGCTCATCTGCTGAGACCCCACTGACAAACTCAAAAATCCTCTCAGTAGTGAAATCATCCATTAGAATGACAGGTTTGTCAGAAAGCAGCACAGGTTCTGTCATTTGGGAAACCACAAAGCTCATATTAAAATGGGGTCCCACTTGTTTCTAGAATAACAGCACTAGAAGTGAACGTAAATGGGTTACAATTTTCAGACCTTCGTAGCCACAGAGGAGGGTATGGGAGAGGCCTCAGAGGGCTCACATTTTGGAGGGAAAATGTCAGGGAGGTCGGGTGGGTTTTTTTTTGTTTGTTTTTTTTTTCATTATCTACTTGGCTCTGGTTTTATCCTATGACTGTTCTGTCCACAGTGATTGGGGAATTGCTTGTCTTCTGTCGTAGGTGAGCAGTAGTTTTAAGATATTTCATAATATGTTTTCTTCCTTCTCAACAGAGATAAATCTTGGTGAAAAATGTTTAGACGGTGTACTAAACAACAACAACTATGAATCAGATATTCTAAAGGTATCGCTTTATTTTAAACATAAAAGCAGCATGATGTGAAAAGTAAAAAGTATTTAATAATCACTACCAGAGGAAAACATAGAAAGTTATTCTACCACTTTGGTCTGCCATTAGATTTCTAAATCACAGCCAGTCTGAAAATGACTTTGCTAAATTTCCAGCAGTTAGTATTTACTAATGAGTAAATAAAATCAGTAGCCAGACTTAATTTTGCAGCCTTTGATCTTAAGTAAGAACTGTGATACATTAGAATGTGAAGGTAGTTTCCCAGAAGGCCAATTCAAAGCTCTTATTCCTGGCTGAAATGTTGAATTTTAATGTGACAATCTTAACTCCTAAAGATTCATCATTATATTCTGTAGGGGTCAAAAGCATACTTATCCTGCCAGACTCCTGTTAAAGGCAAAGAGCTTTCAATCACAATTCAATAATATGACATCTGGTTTTCCAAAGGAAACATGTGACTTGAAATGTTAATGGGGAGATGATTGCTTTCTAATAAAGGCTGTGTTCGCTTTAAACACAGCTTGTACCAGAGATCTCTGTTGCTGTTTACAATGTAAATTATAAGGAGGATGTCATTGAGGCAGCGGCATAGGGATTGACTGTGCCCATTTTACAAATAAGACAGCCTGAGAAAAGTACAGTGAGTTGGCCAGGGTCACGTAGCCCTTGAGTGTCTGAGGCAGGATTCACGCCTAGGACTTCCTGACCAGATCCAGCACTAATCACAGTGGGCTAATGTTGACAACTACTTGGCACCTTTTTAACACGAATGGTTCATTTGACTAAATAAGAATACACAGTCTTCATTTGGGGCTCAGAAGGGCCAGCAAGTCCCCGAGCTTTCTAAACATCAGCTTTGGCTCTGGCTGCAGGTGGGAACCCAGGAGACGGGAGCCCAACCCAGGCTGCAGAAAAGGAGGTCCACGCGCTTGTTACCGTCCCCCCATAACTTGTGAACTTGAGCTTTAGCCAGCAAAGCTGCTGTCCTTAGCAGTAGCAGTCTTGGCCCTTGGTCAGTTAGACTGGTGCATTCCCATCATGGCTGTGACCTTGATGGGCATATTAGAGCTTTGTTTTGGAGCCATCCAGCTCAGCTCATTTTGGCTCGCTCTTTCTTTTTCTTCCCTCGCTCTCCCTCTCTTTCTGTCTCTCCCTCCAACCTTCTTTCTCTTTTTCTTTCTTTGTCTGTGTGCTATGTAACTGGCTTTTCCCATCTCCCCACAGAATTACCTAGCATCCCGGAACTTGACGTGGAAGAATGTGTTAAATGAAAGTCTGCTGGCTCTTCAGAGGGGACTGTTTCTCTTGTCAGGTGAGCTTCCTGTTCTTGTACCATCCCAGACATTTGATTTCCCTCGTTAGCAAGGATGGTGAGTATTCAGGGAATCCCCTGACTTTTGCACTTGTCTCCATGTAAGAGGCAATGGTAGCGTTTTGTCACATGTGCTGCCTATCAGGAATGTCTGGGCCAGCTTCCCATGCTTGGTAAATTTTCAAAAATATCACCTTTACAGACCAGAATGAGCTTTTAGTGGGTAAGACTATATCCAGGAATATTTAAAAATACTAAGTAAATTATTTTTCCAGCCCATGTAGCCTGTGTCAGGAACCTTTCTCACTGGCAGGGAAACACCTTGGGATATGAGGATGCAGAACAGGGTTACGGAGAGAGACAGTGAGGAGGGCTGAAGAGTTTCGTCCCAGGACATGCTGCTCTTGGGGAAAAGAGGCTGCTTGAGAGGATGGGGGAGTCAGGTTGGCTCTGGGAAGGATCAGGCCATTAAGGACTGCATGCAAACAGAGTGTACCAGAATGTTCTGCAGGGTCCCCAGACCTGGCCATCGAGGCTAGCCATAAGTGTCGGCAGCAAGGGTCAGCTACATCCACCATCACCCCCATCAACCAACATGCAGTTATAGAGTGCTTGGACTCAAGAAGATCTGAATTCAAATCCAGCCTCGGCCTGTGTGACCCTGGGCAAGTCACTTAACTTCCATCTGCCTCAGTTCCCTCATCTGTAGAATGGGGTTTAATAGCCCCTTCCTCCCAGGGTTGTGGTGAGAATCAAATGAGATAATAATTGTAAAGCACAGCCCTGTATTAGAGTTAGCTGTCATCATTACTATGATGCGCCAGCCATCGTGCTTGGCCAAACAGTCTGCCCTGAAGAAGCATCTGTTGTGTAGGAAGAGACTGCACAGGAGACAGATGTACACACTGGGGTGTGCGCACAAGACGTGCAAGCCCAGGAACTGGGAGAGAGTGCCGCCGGCCGGGGACCCAGGGGCTGCTGACGGAGGCAGGGTCCTGGTCAGAGCTGCATGCCAAACAGGAGTCTGTGTTGGCTCTTAGAGCCAGTGGGGACGGCCGAGGTCACTGAGGAGCAGCTCTGCTTGGGGTTTGGAGAAGGGAGAGGCCAGAGGCAGGGAGCTCAATGAGGAGGTCACTGTGAGGGGTGATGGGGCCATGGAGTGGAGAGCAGGATGTGGGCAAAAAAGGGGGCAGGGCTATAAGAAATGATGCACAGGCTGACCTTAGAAAAACCTGGAAAGACTTGTATGATCTGATGCTGAGTGAAGTGAGCAGAACCAGGAGAACGTCGTACACAGTAACGGCCATGTTGTGCAATGACTAATACGATAAACTTGACCCTTCCCAGCAATACAAGCATCTAAAACATCTCCAAAGACCTCATGATGGAAGATGCTGTCGACATCCAAAGAAAGAACTATGGAGTTTGAATGCAGATCGAAGCATACTATTTGCGCTTTTTTTTTCTTCTGTTGAGTTTTGTTTTCTCTTTCTGGTGGTTCCTCCTATTGGTTCTAATTCTTACTTACAACATCACTAATGTGAAAATATGTTTAATAGGAATGTAAATGTATAGCCTATATCAGATTGTGGGCCATCTTGGGGAAGGTGGTGGGGAGGAAGGGGGAGAAAAATTTTAAACTCAAAAGCATATGGAAGTGATTGTGGGTAAATCAAAATAAATTAATTTAAAAAAAAAAAAGGGTGCCGGGGACACTGAGAGTCTGAGACCTGTGCAGTGTCACAGCCAGCACGTGGCAGAGGCAAAATGTTTCCCCCTAGCTTTCTGTCCATGTGCCAGGCTGCTTCTCAAATCTTGTGTATTCAAAATCAGCTCTAATAACTTGTACAAGGAATTTCTGGGTGGAAGGGCCACCCCTAGGAGGAGTGGGCTAGGACTCTTCTGGGTGACAGCATCTCACCCTGGAGGAGGGCATGGATTCCAACACTCAGCCCTCCACACTAGTTCTTCTCCCGTTCTTTATCACTCTCTAAACCCACTCCTTGCTATTATCATGACCTCCAACCAACTGATCCATGTTTCTTCTCCCAGGCCATTGTTCAACTCTGTCATCCCTTGCCTTCCTACCCCAACTGGCACCCCATGCCAGGCCCTCCCAGTTGCTCTGATGCTCTTTTCTTTGCTATCTGCCCTCGTTTCTCACGGCATCTGTCCTAAACACTCCTTTGCTCTCCAGTCCTCCAGCCCAAGGCTCGCCTCCCTGCAGGTGATTTAGTTGACTCTCTCACTAAGGAGACCAAGAAGATTCCTTGAGCTGATCTTGTGCAGTCCACCTCCTCATTCCTTAAAACTTGTCAGCAAGCAGCATCACCTCCCTCCATCCATACGCCTCACCAGAATGAACCCATTACCTGCATCCTTGACCCCATCTTCCTTGCTGCCTCCTCCAGCACCTGGCTGCAGCCTCTCCTTCCCATCTCCCTACAGGCATGCTCAGGCCTCCTATCTTCCTCCTCTCCACTGCTTAACTTTTACAGACTGTCATCTCTTCCCTCTCTGTCTCTGTAGTCACCCTCCCATTCTCTTCTCGGCTCCTTGTGTTGGTTTCTGCCTTTACTAAGTCCACTGAGACAGGTGGCACAGTGGATAGAGCGCTGGGCCTGAGTCAGGAAGATGCGAGTTCAGATCTGGCTTCAAATGCTTACTAGCTTTGTGACCCTGCACAAGTCATTTGCCCTTTACCTTAGTTTCCTCATATGTAAAATAGGGATAATAATAGCACCTACTCTCCCAGAATTGTTGTGAAGATCAAATGAGATCATCGTAAAGTATTTAGCACGGTGCCTGGCACATAGTAAGCACTATACAAATGTTAGCTGTCATTGTTATTATCATCACTAAAAACTATTATTTTATTCAAAGAATAAAAACTAGCATTTACATAAGAGCTTTAAAGTTTGCCAAGAATTTACAAATATAATCTCATTTGATCCTTACAAGAACCCTGGAGGGGGAAGTGCTATTATTATTCCCATTTTAGAGATGAAGAAATAGGCCAGGCGGAGGCAAAGTGACTTGCTAGGGGCCCACAGCTACTAAGTGCCTGAGGCTGGATTTGAACTTGGGTCTCCTGACTTCCTCCAGTGTGATGCCTGGCTGCATATTCTTGAGGCACAAGCCACCTTATAGTGAGTCACTGACATTATTTTCCTATTGAGTAAATACTATTTGTGATTTGTCAGTTAGCAAGACAGTTGGTGCTTTCTGAAACATCACATTACATGAGGATTGTGTCATGTTGTTTATAGGGATTTCTTTTCTAGATTACAGAATTACTGGAAACACTGTGCTGTGTTATTGCTGTGGCCTACGCAACTTTCGAGAGCTGACATACCAGTACAGACAAAATATCCCTGCTTCAGAATTACCAGGTGAGGAGGATTGCCTCCATGCAATAAAATGGGCTTATTTGTGTTTTTAAGGGCTGCTCATCAGACTTACATGAATTGATGCAAAATGAAATGAGCAAAACCAGGAGTAGTACACTGTATACAGTAACAGCAATATTGTGTGATGGTTAACTATAAATGACTTAGCTATTCTCAGCAATACAAGGATCCAAGACAGTTCCGAAGGATTTGTGATGAAAAATGCTCCCCATCTTCAGAGAAAGAATTAATGATTCTCAATGCACATCAAAGCATACTTTTTCTTTATTTTTCTTGGGTTTTTTTCTGGTCTTTCACAGCATGATTTACATGGAAATGTTTGGTGTGACTGCATATGTATAACCAATATCAAACTGCTTACCTTCTCTCAAGGTTGGGGGGGGCGGAGAAAATTTGGAAGTCGGAATTTAAAAAAAAAAGTTAAAATTGTTTTTACATGTAATTGGGGGAATAAAATAAAATATTAAATTTTTTTTTAAAAGAGCTACTCAGCTACAGTTCCTACTTTCTGGGCTATAATGAGGCCAGAACCAAGTCAGTTTTTAAGGAAAGGCTTGCCACTCTGGGGATGGAAAGAGTGGTGAAGAATTGCCCTCCTGCTTTAGTGGCAGCTCCATCTAAGAAGCATGTAAAAGACTTCCGCTGTGTCAATATCAGTAAAATGGTGTTTTTCCATAAAGGCATCCTGTTGGGAATGAGACGGTTTCATTTCTTTTATTGATGCTTGGTGAAATGTTTTGACAACCATTTGATGAAATTCCCTTGGAAGCCAGGACCCAAGTTGTTAATAATGCTAATGTTCTCCAGGAATTCCCACTCTGCTTTGTTTACAACTGCCATTAAACAGAATCTTTGGCCTCTCTTTCAGGGACTGTAACATCTCGTCCTGATTGCTACTGGGGGCGCAACTGCCGGACTCAGGTTAAAGCACACCACGCCATGTGAGTGACAGAGTCCATGGAATATTGGGGGGGGGTATATTTATTCTAAGAGCACAGACTGCTGATGGTCAGAGACAGGTAAGGATTTGTTTTCTAAAATAGAAGATTTGGGACCAAATCTGTGGGAGGTACCATTTATTAAATAGAAAAACTGGGATAAAGAAAAATTTTAGTAAAAATGAGTAAAGAACAGTAGAAAAGGTACATCATCCCCCGCCCCCCTGTCTAGAATTTCACTTACCTTTCCACATAGTTTCGGAAGAGGAAATATTTTTGGCAACAAATTTTCATATGTGACCATCTAATATTAAGGAAATTGCTTCCAGTTTGAAAGCAGCAGTCTGGGCTGCTTCCAGAAGTTCATTGTGATTGACTGCCTGCTTCAGCTCTTTGTCCTGTTTAAGTTTTACAGTGGACCTGAGCTCTCTTCAGCTTTGGCACCAAGCGCAGGGTCGAAAGAATAGGAACTTGCAGAAATGGATGACTGCCTTGGACTTTCAGCCTGAAACCAGCTGGAAATGGCTTAGACCCATGTAAGACTGTGACCCACAGTCTAAGAAGCACCGAAGGAGTTGTGAGTGGGAAAAGTTTGAGAAGCCCTAGCTTAGAGGATCTTCTCTTTTCTCAGCACTAAGTGGAAAGGGCAGGAATTAACTCAGATCTCTGAAACTGCAGTAATGGTCAATGGAACAAATATCATTTGCTTCTCAGATTTTATAAATGTTTATCTATAGCAAACTTTTGAGGAACCACATCTGTTTTATATCTGGGGATATCTCTGTGGTGGTCAGGCTTTAAGACTGGGAGTAGAGATGGGCAGCAGCTCTAGGTTGTCTAGAGATGTCAGACCCATTTAGCCCGGCCAGTCTAAGAATCCCTTCTACCACATTCCAGCCAAGTGCCTGTCCAGACTTTGCTTGATGCTCTTTAGGGAGTATGGCTCAGGGGCATACTGAACAGAGAACAGAGAACTGTCTTAAGGCCCAGTCCCTCTCACTGCACCCACCCCATCTGTATCATTACTGTCCTTTGTGTCTTCCTGAAAGCCCAGGACAGAATTAGTTTGTCTTAATTCTTTAAGGGGTAGAAGTCGGATGAGTGATTGCTAGAGAAGTCAGGCTTAGTTACTGCCTATCTCTGTCCACAGACACCAGTAGAAGGCTTCCGGAAACTTGAACCTTCAGGTCCTCGGCTCTAGAAATCATGGGAAGAGGGTACAGACAGAGCTTACCAGCCAGCTGTAGTTTTGTGACATCTGTGGGCTTTCAGAGTTCATCTGTTTCAATGGGTGGTATCTTTTTGTGTAACTTAAAAATGTTTCTTTTTGCAGGAAATTCAATCATATTTGCGAACAAACACGCTTCAAGAACTAAGCCCTGCAGTACTGAAAGTCTTGGATATTTGTATGTAAAAACAAAAACAAAAAAAAATTTTAAAACCTCAAAAACGGAATATAAATGTTTTCAGGGCATTTTTTAAGTTCCCTCCTGGAGGGGAGTTAGATATCTCTGCATCAGGTACTGGTGTGATTTTTTTTTTATTTTTGTAGAGCTTTACACTTGAGTAAGACCTTTTTTAAGTAACCTGAGGAGCACTTCGTGGTGCCCATCAGGCATGCCGTTCCTGCAGCCTCGGCAGCAGCGACAGCAGACTGGAGGATACGCTCAGGGCGGGCAGGAATGGCACCCACGGTCATGAGATGTCCTGAGGCCGAGTGTTTGTTGTGCATCAGGTTGGGTGAAAGCCATTATTGTCAAAGGAAAGAATTTGCCACCAACCTCCCCATCTGTCAAGATGAGAGCCTCATTTTGTTTTTTCTACCCTCACCAAAATGGTTGTCAGATCAGGAATCCCTTTTTACCAAGAACTTCATATGGCAAAAAAGACAAAAAATTATCGAATACACTGTTTTCTTGTTGCTTAAGAAAAAGAAGCAAATGTTTACAGCCCATAGGGCATGCCTAGTGCTTTGCTGTAGAAAAAAGTTTGACTCATATACATGTGTGCGCGTGAGCACGTGTGTTTTAGGTTAGTCAGTCTGGTGCTTTCATTCCTTGTTAGAATTAAATCTCACAAGCGGCACAAATAATATAATGTATCATTTATAAGCCAATTAGAAGTTGGGAGGCTATCCTGCGTATAGGAGATGCTCTGTGTGCGTCTGTAGGCCTTCGCAATCACATGGGAGACCAAACAGTGTCACTGGCACAGATTCCCTCGTTATTGTGCTGTGATTCTGGTACTGCCCCTTTGGGTTGCCCCCTGGGGGAGGGACCACTTGGCAGAACATAGCTGCTTTATTAGGAGAAACAAATGTTTGCCACAAGAGAGAGGGCCTTCCGCATTGCTTAGGTTTGTTTGACAGCCAAAAACAAGAATCCTAGTATTTTCAGAAATATTTCTTTTTGGGGCAGCTAGGTGGTACAATGGATAGAGCACCAGGCCTAAAGTCAGGAGGACCTGAGTTCAAATCCAGCCTCAGACCAAACACTTGACACTTACTAGCTATGTGACCCTGGGCAAGTCACTTAACTCCAATTGCCTTTTTAAAAAAAAAAAAGAAAAGAAAAGAAAGAAGTATTTCTTTTCATTAGGCACTGGAGATGGACATTGACTTCAACAAATAGCTATTAAGTGGTGCCTATCTATTATGCCAGGCATCAGGACCTCTCCTGGGAGCACAAAGACAAAAACTGGAAACATCTCCTGCTGTTGAGGAGCTCCAGGTGGCACCTCAACATAGCTCCCTGGAGAGAAAGACAGGTGAGAAGGGAATTGATTCCAGACCCTTCCTCAGCAATCCTAGATCGCAGAATTTCACTCCAGCAGCTGGGTAGCCTGAAAGTTACCTCTATAGCTCCAGCATTTTAATTATGCTTCATGTTTTTAGCCAAATTGCTACGTTAGTGAAAAGGGACACAGGACACACTACTCCAAGTCAGAGCTTAGAGAATGAAGGGCAGAGACAAATAGGGTTCATGTGCTATCCTGCTGCTTTTTAGCATCCTGAATGGGGTACTTCCTTATTCCACTTGAAGCACTGACTGCAGAGTACAATCCCAGCTACAGAGGTCTAATTCTTCATACCGGACTGTGTCCAAGTCATTTCTCCCTACTCAGAAATCCCAGACAGCATCTTATGTGTAAGTGCACCGATTGACAGCTTCCTCCATACCGGTAGACAGCAATCTTACAGCAGCCTTCATTTCCTACGTGCCCTGGTATCTTCTCCTGCATTAGAATTAAAATTTTATCTGGAATAATACTTGAACTATTGTTTTATGTAAAGCACATTTGTTTTCACTCCTTTGTTTTATGTAACCAGCTCCTGTTTTATCAGTAATCATTTGCCTGAAAACGTGCAAGTTACTGTCTCTTCTCAGGAATATCATTTCCAGTTGTCTTTTTGGTGTAGCCTGTGTTGACAGAGGTAAATCCTTTGTTACAGTGCAGAAATGTGCTTATTGTTTCCTACTGTCTGCCTTTTATGCCAGTGTTTTTTCAAAGGAACTTGTTGCTGTGCTGGGAATTTGGGTGACCAGTTTGCTGATGCTTCCACCACTGATGAAGAATGAACACTGGCATCCCACCTGAAGCCACATTTGTTTGTGCTCCTTTTTGTGTGGGGCTTTCCTAGAAGTTGATCTTGGGTACTGGGTCACCATCAACACACCACCTGGTTCTCAGAGCTTCCTTAGGTCACACTCTCCTCACTTCCTCTTCCTTAGGAAATTAAATTTGCTTTTCTCGGCATAAGGTTGAAGTGAGTACGATGGGACAAAAGCTTTCCCAGTTGTGTTGGATCTGGAAATACCGAGACAAAGGAGAATGCGGAACCTGAGTTGTGATGATTTTTCTCTTAAGTGACTAAGAATCCAGGGTGGGTGGCACATATTCTTGACAGGACTCCTTTCTACCAGACTGTGCAACAGTAGTCACTAAATGTGACTGTTTCAGTACAGCAGAAATACAACCTGTTCTCGTCTGTCAGGGACAGTCAACTCTAGAACGGGACTGGAAGCCAGGGACCCTGGGCTGAGGCAAGCGTGCCCCGTAGCGGTCCAGGTCTGGCTGTGGATCTGAGATGTGAAGGCTTTGCTCTGTGAAGATGATGGTCTAGTTCTTCCAGCGCATTTGTGATGTCCTTCAGACTGCCACCCCTCCTTCCATAGAGGGGAAGAAAACCAACCTACCTTAAATATCGTGGTCTGTGTCTTTGTTTCCTGGGGGTTTTTTTTCCCTTGAACTGGTGGCTGAACGTGATGGTACAGGTTTTGTTGGCATTTGAGACTTTGACCTCAGCCTTATTCTGCAGGTCTTGCCAAACGCCTGCTGAGCTCTCTCAACTACTTATTTGTCACTTGGGAAGCAAATATCTTACTAGACATTTACCAAGAGGATTTTGATCTGGAAAAGGACTTTAGAGATCAGGTAGTGAAACCCCCTCATTTTATAGGTGAGGAGACAAAAATTCAGAGAGGGAAAGCTAGGGTCACCTAGGTAACACAGTCAGGGGTCAAACTCAAGTCCATGGGGAGCCAAAGCCATTGAGCTCTTGTGCAGGAGAGACACGTGCTTTAGAACTGTCTTGGCAGCTTTGTGAAGGATGGATCACAGGGGGGAGAATGGTGTAGGGAAGCCAAGTAGGTGGTTTTCACAACAGTCAGGAGATGACAAAGGCCTCAAATAGTGGTGGTTGTGGGTGTAGATAGAATCATTAAACCTGGTGACTGATTGGATAGGCGGATGAGGTGGACGAGTCGCAAACAGCTGGGATGATGCTCCTGCCCTCAGCAGAAATGGGGAGATTTGGGAGGGAGGAAGGTAATGGCTTTCTGAAACTGTTGTTCTTTCTCTTCCCCACAATGAAATGACTTCTTCCAGGAAGACTGCTGGAATGGTGTCTCCTTAGCTGCATCACTTTCTCTGGAATTGACTTCAATAAATAGTTATTAAGTGGTACCTACTATTGTGCCAGGCAGTGGGCCCCATCCTGGCAGCACAAAGTCAAAAGTCAGAAACTCCATCTGCTGTTGAGGAGCTACAGTTGGCACCTGAACCTAAGTTCTCTCCCTGGAGAGAAAGACAGGTGAGAAGAACATCTGTTCCTCCAGGCACTTCCTCAACAAGCCACCGTCTAGAGATGCCACCATTACACTCAAGATTCAGTCAGGATTTAGCATTGTCCATCATCTAGTCCAGGGCTGCTTAAACTTTTCCCACTATTGGCCCCTTTAAGCTTTTCAGCAGTGGCCTAAGGGCATGCAATGTGCCCAGACTTTGTGTTCAGAACCAAGGCTGCAGTGAACTTTCAGGCAAATGCCAGAAACACCTCAGATTCGTCAGGTGTTTGATTTTTAATTAAATTTTGGTCACTGCACGTTCAGAAACCTTTTACTGTTGCCAAATTTTTCACAAGCCCATGTGGGGGGTCAAAACCCACAGTTTAAGAAGCTCTGGTCTAGACCACCCCGTTTATTTTACAAGTGAGGAAACTGTCCCAAAGAAGGGGAGTAATTGATTTATTTGATGATTTTAAGGTTTGCAAAGCACTTTCCTCACAACACCCTTGTGAGGTAGGGTATTATCTCCATTTTGCGAGTGAAGAAACCGACACTCTTAGATTTAAGGACCAGGTGGCATCTACTTATTGATTCCCTCTCAGGTTCCAGTTTTCTCAGACATCAATTCCGTCTCCCCCTCTGAATCTCCACTTTAGCCTAGGCTTCAGAGTCATATTTTCTCTTTCCCTCTGCTTTGAAAGGAACTCAATTTAACAGGCCTTGATTAAACATTTTGTGCCAGGCTCTGGGGATATCAAATGAAGAAAATGGTGCCTTCCCTGAGGACCTTTAACATGTCCACAATAAAAACATAACCTTCCTCTCTTCCAAATCTCCCTATTTTTTTTTTAAGCTTTTCGGCAATTGGGGTTAAGTGACTTGCCAGGGTCACGCAGCTAGTACATGACAAGTGTTTGGTCTGAGGCTGGCTTTGAACTCAGGTCCTCCTGACTTCAGGGCCGGTGCTTTATCCACTGCGCCACCTAGCTGCCCCCTAAATCTCCCCATTTCTGCTGAGGGCAGGAGCATCATCCCAGCTGTTTGCGACTCTTCCACCTCATCCGCCTATCCAATCAGTCACCAGGTTTAATGATTCTATCTACACCCACAACCACCACTATTTGAGGCCTTTGTCACCTCCTGACTGTTGTGAAAACCTCCTAATTGTCTTCCCTACACCATTCTCTCCCCTACAGTCCATCCTTCACAAAGCTGCCAAGATAGTACTAAAGCATGTGTCTCTCCTGTACAAGAGTTCAATTGCTTCCTATTGCCTCTAAGATAAACTACAGTTTTTTAGTGTGGTGCCTCAAACATTTCCTATTAACTCCCCTTCATTCACTCTCAGTTCCAGCCCAACTAGGCTACTGTTCCACCAAACTCAGCAGTCCATCTACCTGTGTGTTCGAATGCCTGGAATACCCTCCTCACCCTACCTCCCTTGAAGGTTCAACTCAACTGTTTTGTTCTTTTTTTCCTATGGGAAACCTTCTTGATTCTCTTGGTTGTTGGGATTATAAACTCCTGAATTATCTCGATTATCTATTACTGACTTCTCTACGTGTGTATTCCTCAAGCCACATTTCCTGTTTTTCTCTGTCCACAGCCTCTTGCACATGGTAAGCACTTAATGCTTACTGAATTTAACAGAAGCTTAAATTGTCCTCTTCCAGGGTCAACATCTCCTAATTCCCCGATTACACTTTTCTCCCTGGTTTCCCTTTCCCAATGGGACCTGTATCCCAAATTAATCCTGCCTCACGCCCAGGATATGTGGCAGCCCTGTTTGCTTGTTCCTGGAATGTTTCCTTCTCTCAGAATCTTCCTCTAGAACCTAACACTTGATAGCATAACTCTTGAATCAGGAACATTATGACTAAAAAGTTCACGTCGGACTCTCCAGACAGGAGTGACCAGCTGGAGCCAAGTTTAAGATAGGGCCAGGTTATCCATCTGTAATCTACACCACGAGCAGGGCCTGCAGTCATCTGCCATGGGGCTGGCAAGGGAGAGGGTCTGCTTCCACCACGGCTACCTGGGAATTGGAATTTAAGAGAACCTGAATGCTGCAGAGGTCCTAGATCTCTGGATAAGGTGAAGTCTTCAGCAGCAAGCAGGAGCTGCCAAAGGTACCTCGGCAGACAGTGATAAGGGTATGGCTTTAGAGTAGTGGGGAAGCTTTCAGAAAAGTGCATTAAAAGGTGTCTGTGGATACTTGGCTGTGAACTTTTTAATCCTAACATACCTGATAAATATTCTTATTTCAGCCTCCTAATAACCTTATGAGGCAGAGACTACAAGAATAACTCCATTTCACAGTTGAAAAATGAGGCCAAGAGAAGTGAAATCTCATGGACAGCAATCAGTAGATGTACCCAATGAGTGTGCTTTCTATTTACAAAGCAATCCAATAAATGCTGGGGATACAGAAACAAAGCAAACAGCCCTGTCTTCCAGTAGCTTAAATTCCACCGGAGGAAAACATAGGGTTGGGCCTGGAGTCAGGAACATCCCAGTTCAAATTTGACCTCAGACATTTCCTAACTGCATGACCCTGGGCAAGCCACTTCACCTGTTTGCCCCAGTTTCATCATCTGTAAAATGGGAATAATAGTAGCACTTCCCTTCCAGGATTGTTGTGAGATGAGATATTTATAAAGAACTTAGCACAGGGCCTGGCACATAGTAGCTACGTAAATGTTTAATTATCTTGTTTATTCAGTCACGTCTTGACTCCTCGTGACCCCAACTGGGGTTTTCTTGGCAAAGATACTAAAGTGGTTTGCCATTTCCTTCTCCAGCTCATTTTACAGATGAGGAAACTGAGGCAAACTGGGTTAAGTGAATTGCCCAGGGTCACACAGTAGGCCTCTTAGGCCAAATTTGAACTCAGGTCTTTCTGACTCCAGGCTAGGTGGCCCAGCTAATGCAAATGTTGGCTGCTATTACATACTCAAATGGATAATTCCTTCAATGCCAATCAAAACACCAACCCTTCTGGTTTTGTAGAAGGGGGCTCCAGGTAACACAGGACTATGGGGCAGGTCTTGACAATCTGTGTTTACTTTCCACTGTATCATGTCTTCCCCAAGTGCATCACAAGGGATCCACTCACTATGCTGGAAGTTTTTTATTTTTCCGATATCACATTCTGGAAAGCACTTGTTATCCTCTGCTCTTGCCATGCAAACCAGTCATCTTTTCTGCTCACGTATTTCCCTGGTGACTTTCCCCTGCCATCCCCCCGCCCCCCCCCCATTACTTAGTATATACTGTTATTTTGTGTTTTAGGCAGGCCATGCAAAAAATACAAAAAGTAAATGTAATCTGGTGGGGAGAGGGTCGGCACTGATACCAGGGGCGGGAGGTTTCACTCGAACTAGGGATTCCCAAAGGCACCAGCCAGACAGCACTCCAGAGCTGGGGGCAGCGACGCCGAGGCTCGGGGCGGAGAGTGGACTGGCCCGGACCGGGTGCACGGAAGGGCGCGGAGCTCCGCTGGGTCGGCCGAAGCCAGCCCGAGAAGAGCTTTGAGTGCTCCCAGCAAGCCAATCAACTAGCATTTGTGAAGCACCTACTATGTGCCAGGCACCGAGGATGCAAAGACAAAACACCCAAAGGGCTCAGGGGCGTCGTCTCTGGGGAGGACCCGTGAATGTCTTCAGTATAAGCAGATACAGAATAAATGCAAAATTAGTTGGGGAAGGGGCTTGGGCCCGAGACTGGGGGGGGGGGTCACTCTGCTCTCACTCACCCCCCACCTCCCGAGGAAGTCAATCTCTGGGAGCCTTCGGCTACGACCTGGTCGGGGGCAGGCCGGGGCCAGGCGCGGAGCTCCGTGAGGAGGCCCGTCCGGGAGAGGAGGCGAGCGCGGGGGTGCGGGGGAACGGAGGGGCCTTCACCACCCACGCCGCCCCCTCGGCCACCTGGAAAGAGCATCCAGGGCAGGGTACCACACAGGGTCAACACCACGGAACCAGCCTCCAATGGACCGGCCCCCAAGTTTGCACTCGAGCCCTTCCTGCTTCCGCCGGAAACAGGCCTGGACAGCTTCTTCCTGTTTAGGTTCCGGCGAGGGCGGGTGCCCGGCCCTCAGTTTGTCTGCAGAAGAGAGCGGAAGTCGTGCTCTTCCTTAGAGTGCCCCTCCGGAAACACGCACCGCCGCTCTCTCAGTGCCGCCGGTTCCCGGCCGCTAGAGAACGTCCTACTCCGGGACCTTTCACCCCCTGGGGGAGGCGGGGATCGGAACGGCTTCGGGGAGCGGCCGCAGCCGTTCCCTGAGGAAGCGCCTGCCCTGGAACTCCCCCTCGGAGGAATGCTTCCGGGGGGACTCAGAAACCTGTGACACCGGCCCGCCCCTCCCCGCCCCGCCCGCGGCAGAGCCACGTCTCGGCCTGAGGAGCCGCAGGAGCCGCCACTACCAGGGGTGAGGAGAGCTCCGGGGCCCAGGGGCCCGACCCGCGGTGCGCCGCCCCCGGGGAGGGAGGAGAGCCCCGGCCCCCTGGCCCGGCTTCTGCCGCTGCCTCCTGGCTGCGGCCTCTGGCTCTGGGGCAGCCCCGGGGTTGGAGCTGGAGAACCGGGGGCCTCAGGCCACCGAGGGGGAAACTGAGGCCAGAGGGCCTCGCCGCGATAGTCGAGCTGAGGGCTTGAACTCCGGGCCGCTCTCTGTCCCCGGCACTCAGTTTCCTTGCTCTCGGGGTGGGAATAACACCAAAAGCTAGCCGTTACATAGCGGTTTAAGGCTTGCAAAGCGCTTTACAGAAGGATCTCATTGACTCCACAACACCCTGGGAGGGGAAGGCTATGAAGATCTCCTTTTTACAAACGAGGAAACTGAGGCAGGCAGCAGTCAAGTGACTTACCCAAGGTCACACAACTACCAAGTGTCAGAGGCTGGATTTGAACTCGAGTCTTCCTGACTCCATGTGCAGCGCTCTATCCAGGTCGCCACTAGATGCCAAGGGAAGAGAAACGACTTGGCCAGGGTCCCACAGATAGGCAGGGCCTGTGGCTAAATTTGAACTCGGGTCTTCTAGGCGCCAGGTCTTGCGCATTTGCTCTAACAGCTGGGGCTGGGGATCTCTTGGCCAGGGTCCTCCCTCCCCTGGCAGTGTTGTCAGTATCCCTTTTTTCCTTTCCACGAAGTGTTTATTTACATCGTTGGGTGAGTGTGACTAATGGTGCAATTCCAGGCGCAGGATTTCCTGATTGTGAGTAGTCATGGAGACTGGAACTGCCTTACTGTCTGTGGTCCGGGAGTTTCATTACCAGGACATTTGGGTCCTTTCCCACCCAACCCTGGATGCTGAGTCTTCTCTGAAGAGTTAGTTTTCTCTTAAGCTACTTCATGCCATGCCTTGAAGGGTGAGGCAGTGATTATTTTTTTTTTAAATACTGTAATTTGTGACCCTAGACACTGTGGAGCTTAAGATTTCCTAAGGGTTAGGTCTCCATCCCATTTCTCCGTGTTGGGAGGCTGTCGCCAGTGGCATTTTCCAGAAAGAGGAGCTGGGCATTTGAGTCATTGGATTCAGAAAGTAAGAAAACTTCTTCCTTGTCTTGGAAAGAAACCTCACCCAACCCAACCCAAGGAGCATTTATGGAATGTCTGCCAAGGGCCCAGCACTGTGCTAGAGGCGGATGACCCTTGACCTCAAGGAAATACCATGTTCTTCTGGGAGTGACAGTTTCCAGTTAGATGTTGATGAGAGAGAGGTTAAATAGCTGTTTTGGGTTATTACTTTATATTAGATTTTTAAATTACCATCAGATTTCTGGTTTTTATTCATTGCTCTTAAGAAGAAAAGTTACTTCCATAAGATAAATCATTATTTGTGTTTCATATTGTTTAGTGACCACAGGTTAAATAATTGTTATGATTGTAGCCATGTTTTTCAGCTTTACTGCTGAGTAACACTTAAGGATCTATGCCTAATTAATGGAACTGCTTAACCAAACATTGGACTTTTTCCAAGTTCATTTTGTTCATTCAATTTTGTGCCAATTGCCGACCGGAACTTGGACAGATAATGAGTTAAATTTAGGTAAACATTACCTGGAACTCTTAACTCTGAATTTACATTGTGGATCTTCCAGGCAAATAGATGAGGAAAAAATTTCTGGTTGCATTTAGGGCTTCTGCATTTAAAAATGATCCATTCTACCACCACTACCACCACCACCACCACTATCACCAAGTATTTCTGATGCAGGTAGCAATTCTAAATTTAGTTTGCCCAGGGATGGGGGTGGGATTAGAATATAAGGCCAATCAAGTGTCATCCCCTACAGGCCGGTTAGGTTTGTAGGGGGAAAAAAGGTGTATTCAATTTTAATCCTGGCCATCCATTTCTCAAATTATTAAAATATTAAAATATATCAAAATATTAGAAGACCAGCATGACAAAAGACAGTGTCTGTTACCTTTGCTGGAAAAAAAAATAGTTCAAAGCACTTGACCATTGTGGGAGGGATAATTGTGAAAGTACTTTGTAACTTTAAAAAGCTCTATAAATTCAGTCTAACAACTTGATAAACATTTAAGCACCTACTGTGTGTTTGCTGTACTGTGCTAGGCTTTAGGGAGATACAGGTTTTAGATAAGACAAGTTCCTGTCCTTGAAGAGCCGGTAGGGAGCTGTGATGCAAAAAAATAGTACGAAAGAATAAACAGTAAATACATGAGAAGTGGAAATGCGGGAGATGTCTGTGTTGGTGCTGATTGGGGGCAGGGGGGGGGATGCTGCAGAGAAGACTGACTGGAAGAAGTGACGTTTGAATCAAAGCAGGAATTTGACAGGCTGGGTGTTGGTATTAGGGGAAAGATGGGAGTGTCTGGTCTGGGCAGAAGGAGGCCAGTAAGTCTAAAACGACAGAAGCCTGAAAGTGCAGGCCATATGTCAGGGCCACTGAACAAGTCTGTTTGGCTAGAGCAGAGAGTCTGCAGAGTGTCTGAAATAAAACTGGAGACGAGGGCCTTGAATACCAGGCAGAGTAATGAGAACTTCCCTCAAGCAATAGGACACCATTGGGTGTCTGAGGGAGCTAATTATGCCTGGCCGTGACAGTGAGGATGTTCTGGATCTGGGAAGACTTACTGGGAAGCTATTGCAGTAGTTCTAAGTCAGTGGTGATGGAAATTTTTGCTATGCTAGTCCTAGTGGGATAGAGAAGATGGTATGGATGCAAGAGATTTTTCATCTTTAGAACTTGGTAACTAGATACTACAGGGGGCAGTTAGATAGCTCAGTAGATGAGCACTGGGCCTGGAGTCAGGAAGACCTGAGTTCAAATTCAGCCTCAGACATTTACTAGCTGTGTGACCCTGGACAAGCCACTTAACCTGTTGCTGGCCTTAATCCACTGGAAAAAGAAATGACAAATCACACCAGTGTCTTTGGCAAGAAAATCCCAGGGAAAGTATGGTCCACAGGATCACGAAGAATCAGACACAACTGAACAACAGCTAGATAGGAGAGGTTGAGGAGGAGAGAGAAGGGTCAAAGAGACACCAAGATTTTGGACAAAGAAAATTGAATGAATTATGGTGCCACTGGCATGTAATATTTAAGTCAAGAGTAACAGGGATTTGAGGAAAAATAATAAGTTCATTTTAAAATGTAAGCTGTTGTTATTATTAACATAAAGGATATTGCCTATGGGCAAGTTAATAATCCCTATTTTCTATTTCTCTGTTCTTTGTGAAATGGATGAGACTTATTTAGTGGTAGTAAATGTGACATCCTATTAATCTTTTGTCCTTTGCAAAGGAAATCAATTAGAAAAATTTGGTAATGTTCTGGGTATCCCACTTCAAAAATAAAAATGCCCAACAGCTTCTCTGCATAGCTTAAGTTTGGCTCATTTCTTAGATTTAAAAAAATTGGAGACTTGAATTTCTAAGAAAGCTACTCCTGCCGCCTTTTCTGGGGTAATGTGCATCTGTTTTCGACAGAAAAGTAGATCAAGGAATACCAAGTGTTAATTTTGAAAGTATTCTCACCAGCCTTTCTCTTGCCCAGCCCTTTTGTTTCTACCTGAAAGAGGCCTGGGCTTCAGGCCTTCGTCCCTGTTCCCACTGCACCCGCCCTCTTTCTCCTGACCTCCCTAAGCTGTCCCTCTCCACTTCTTCCACCGGGCCAGATAAGGTAACTAATGCTGTCCTATTACCTTGTCAGTCTGCTGCCTAAAAATCTGCAGTGGCTCCCTCTCATCTGTCCAAGCTTAAACTTTTGACTGGTATTCAAGGCCCTGCCATACGGAACGTCGCCCAGCCTTAGCTCATCGTTTTTTCGCTTAACCCATTCTGTGTTCTCTTCAAACTAGATTTGTCTCCATCCCTGTGTTGTCTTTGTGATAGGGGCAAGCCACTTAACTTCAAAAAGCTTCAGTTTCCTCATCTGTAAAATGGGAATAATAATGTCTGCACTAACTACCTCTGATGGCCCTTGGGGGGGATCAGATGATGTAATAGACCTGACCTACTTGATGGTAAAGTTCTTTATACAATGTCAGCTCTTTACTGTTACCTTGGATCATATTATTTATGTTTATGGTTCATCCTTTATCAAGTCGTAAACTCCTTGAAGGCAGGAACTGTATCCATTTTCATCTTTGTATCCCCACTGCCTAGCACAGTGTCTCACAAATACAATAAGTGCTTAATCATGTTCCTTGCATCAAACAGAATCTCACCAACTTAGCTTGGAAATGCTAAATGTTTTCCTGAGAGTGAGGCAGTGTGATAACAGCATGTTTGGTTGCAGGCTGCCTCTATCACTTCCTGGGTTCCTAGCTTCTGACTGACACCAGCCAGCAAATGGAAACCTTAGCACCGTGTTTCTGAATGAATTTTGACTGTTGCTGATGGAGGGGGAGAAGCAGAACTTGCTAGCAGCTCATCCGTAAGCTCCTGTCAGCACCACCATCATCTGGGGTCACAGCTACCATGGACTCTTTCCCTGCTGAGCAAGGCGGCCTGCTTGAGAGCAGATCTAGCAATGGCCTCCCGGACCACTCTGGGACCCTTCTGAATCACACAGGCAAACTGAATCGGGCCGATAGTGGGGAAGTTCACTGTAAGTCCTTCATGCTGAGATGCCATCTGTGTCAGCTAATGTGATTGCCAAGCTGTTTGAATAATTGTTACTTAAATACAGTTGTTTCTGGTGACAATGATATAGTCCTGTTGTTTTACATTAACACTTATCTCTAGAGATGTCATTTTATTGTTTATTGTAATGTTTTACTGTTTTATGAAAGCAAAAATTGAAATTCAGATGAGTAAACCTGAGAATTATTTGGTTCTTTTTTTTATTAATTTATTTTGATTTATCAGTAATCACTTCCATATGCTTTTGAGTTTAAAATTTTTCTCCCCCTTCCTCCCCAAGATGGCACATAATCTGATATAGGCTATACATTTACATTCATATTAAACATTTTCACATTAGTGATGTTGTAAGTAGAAATTAAAACCAATAGGAGGAACCATCAGAAAGAGGAAACAAAACTCAACAGAAGAGGAAAAAAAATAGCAATTCGGCTTCCATAGTTCTTCCTTTAGGTGTGGATAGCATTTTCCATCACAAGGCCTCTGGAGATGTCTTATCCTTGTATTGCTGGGAACGGATAAGTTTATCAATATTAGTCATCGCACAGTGTGGCTGTTGTTGTGTACAACGTTCTCTTGGTTCTGCTCACTTCACTCAGCATCAGATCATACAAGTCTTTCCAGGTTTTCCTGAAGTCAGCCTGTTCATCATTTCTTATAGCACAGTAGTATTCTGTTACATTCATATGCCACAACTTGTTCAGCCATTCCCCAATTGATGGACATCCTCTCAATTTCCAATTCTTTGCCACCACAAAAAGAGCTGCTATGAATATTTTTGTACATGTAGGTCCTTTTCCCATTTGTGTGATCTCTTTGGGTATTTGGTTCTTTAAGTGATGAAATTAGGCAGTCACATTACTCGATTGTTTATTTTAAAACTCATTCAGGAGGGTCTTAGGGGAGGAAGGAGAAGAGTTTGAGTCCCTCTCACTTTAAAATTTCACAGTATTTTCAGGAAGCCTATCAGCCCTTTTTCTTGTTTGATGCTGTATTTAAATAAGTCATAATGCATATTGAACAAAATGTGAACCACCCAGAACTGGTAGCTCTTGGAGTATTGAGTTTCAGTCTCCAGCCTGCAATGTTGATTAACTGTTTGTTGTTCCTTCTGATGCCCTGACTCTGTAGATGTGTATTTAGGAAAAGTGGAAACACTGTGTGATCACATCACAGTTGCAAAATTGAGATTTGTATCAGACTAAAATCAGTTGGAAGTACTTTTTGTTTGTTAATTTGCCCTTGTGATTTTGTTAACTTGGTTACTAAATTCTTAATAACTTGGGACCACAGAAGAAAGATTATTCTCTATTTTCAAATGACAAAATTTAATTGACCTGATATTCTTTATGGAATTTATCACAGAGGAACTAAAATTAATTCAGCTGAGTTATTGTCTAGCTTTTTAGTCTACCTTTGGAGAATTGAAGTGTGCTAATGTACCAAATGCAATAGAACAATAAACTGCACTTCCCACCTCTATGACCTTATCTGTAAAATGGGATAATAGTTATACCACCTACTAGTTGTGAGGAAAGGGCTTTGCAAACCTTAAAGCTCAGTGTAAATGTGAGTTGTTATTATTACATCTTACCAAAACATACATGTCTTTTCTAATTCTTTTGAGAAGGTATTTAAACACTTTAAACTATTTGGATAATTGTTACTTATGTAAAGCAGTTCCTGATGATAATATATTGGTCCATATTAAGGCTTTTCTCTAGAGATAACAAAGTCCTGTTGTTTATTGTATTATTCTACTATATCACGAAAGTGAAATTTGAAGCTCAGATGGGTAGAAATTCTGAGTTATTTGGTTCCATAAGAGATGAAATTCTCAAATCCTCTTCCCGCAGAGTGTGAGATTTAGCTCCCTTTTACAACTCTGAGACAGACACGTCTTTGGGGCTTGCTTCTCTAAAGATCAGCAGGATTAAAAGTGCAAAAGGTATAATGAACACTGTACGTGACTTAACTTGATTCTTTATGCTTGCTTGACTTCTTAAAAAGACAGCTTTGATCTCTGCAGAGCTTGATTTCTAAAATGAAGTGAATCCACTTCACGTAATCTCAGGTATCGGCTCTCGTCCTCTTCTTTCTAGTCTTTACACCACAGACTCAATCTGTACGTGCGGGCACAGGCATGCTTGCCAGTGTCCCTTTTTTGAACGACATCTTTGCCTTCTGACTTGGCTAAGACTTTCTCATGAATGATTAAATTTTCAACAGTTTCTCTTGCACTTTGCACCTGTTTCTGTATCTAAAGCAACATAAATTTTTATTTCAAAGTCAAAACAAACCATTCAGGAAGTGGTATTTTAAATATGTTCTTGGCTGGTTCTCAGTTGCTAGGTACAAAAATAGTAGTCTATAAGATTGTTCTTTTGACTTAGGGTCTGCATTATGTATGTATTATTTGACTTAGGGTATGTATGGAAAATAGTTTGGTTTAGTGGTTCATCAGCTTGGCCCAGTGGACAGTGAGAGACAGAGAACTTGGGCAAATTATTTGACTCCTCACAGCTTCAGTTTCTTCATCCATTAACTGAGCAAACCAACCTGCCAAAGTGTCTTCCAGCTCCAGATCTATGATTCTAAGGCCATTAGGAGCCAAGTCTCTGGTAGTCACTCAGTATATATGGATTGATGGATTGATTCAGTATATGTATCAATAACTGTAAATCAAGTAGGTTGGTTGACAAATCTCCTTGGTCCTAGTCTCAGCTTTGCCAGTATTTCATGGATCATAGAATCTCTTTGCTAAAATGGGGATAAAACTCATACTTTAAAAGTGAATTGAGGTTCTAATTCTTACTTACAACATCACTAACGTGAAAGTATGTTTAATAGGAATGTATGTGTATAGCCTATATCAGGTTGTGCGCTGTCTTGGGGAAGATGGTGGGGAGGAAGGGGGAGAAAAATTTTAAATTCAAAAGCATATGGAAGTGATTGTTGATAAATCAAAATAAATTAATTTTTAAAAAAAGTGAATTAAGGGACAGCTAGGTGGCACATTGAATAGAGCTCCAGCCTTAGAGTCAGGAGGACTTGAGTTCAAATCCAGCCTCAGACACTTGATACTTACTAGCTGTGTGACCCTGGGCAAGTCACTTAACCCCGACTGCCTCACCAAAAAGCAAAAAAAAAAAAGAATTAAATGATCGAATGGATTGGTTTGTTTTGTTTGATTGCATTTTGGAGGGGGAGATTATTGAGTAGCAACAGTGGCCAAAAACAAAAAAAATCAGACATTTCAGCAAAAATAGGAAGCCATCAGACACTCACCACATCTGTTTAAAGGCCAGGAAGCTGTAAGATTATGGATATGTTTTCAGTGCTTCAGGAACTGATGATTTTGTTGGTTTGGGCTGGCCCTTCGGTGGCACAGGTCGCAATCCTGCTGTAGTTCAAGGGCTGACCTTTGACTGTGTGGGGGCCCGCCGTGTGAGAGTGAGTCATCCAAGCTCAAGCTCTAAGGTCCATCCTCAGGCATCGGACATGCAGGCTGTCACTCCTCCTGCTTTTAACCACTGTGTTCTACACTTCCATTTGCTTTTATAAAGCAGAGAAAATTTAGTAGGATTTCCAACTGGCCTAATTTACTTAAATGAATAGAACTCTTATTTTTAAAAAGCAAATTAGCACGATGTGAACCTGCCTGTGTCCATCCAGCTTTGAATCAGCTCCTGTTAACTTTGAAGTTGAATAATGTGGTCAGGAAATGGGGGTGAGGGGTGTGGAGGGCATTTCCTCACTAGAATCACACAATATCCAAAGCTGCTTTCTTTTTTTCCAGGTGCCAGTATTAATGTTAACCAAGTGTCAAATGAAGGAGGAAACATGGAGGAAGCCAGCAAAGGGGACGTCTGTCAGAATGGACCCACAACCCATTTCCCTGATCCTCCATTGTCCCTTGATCCCACCACCAGACCATTTGGTCCTGATCCATCTCCAGGTGTGGCTGGTTTCCATGACAACCTAAGGAAGTCTCAGGGATCTAGTGCTGAGGGCGTAGTTCTTAGAAAAGAAGCTTTGCAGTCTCTCAAACTCAGTCTTCCTATGCAAGAAACTCATTTGTGTAAGCATCTGTTTACTGCAGTGCCCCTTCTCCCCTCTGCCACGTAAAGCTTTCACTCTTTTCAAAGACTTCACATGCTACCTGAGAAAGCATTTTTACTTTCATTAAGGTACCTTGGGGGGTGGGGGTGGGGGGGGTAACAATCTCCTTTTTTATCCTATTTTTAATTGCTCCCAAGGGATCACATTTCTAAAATATTTGCTTATTGCTGACTATGTGGGGTTTTGTGTTTGCCACATTAGGCTGATTGGACAGAAGATAAAAATGTTTGGGAAAAGAAGCATCATACAACATATGTGATATGGACCATGTTTTCTATTCACATAAGCACTGTGATCTTTGCCTCACCACCGAATTATAAGGACATTTTTCTTTGGGCGTCTTCATGCCCCTATGTGCAGGATGCATTTAGTTTAACCCCAATAGAAGTACACCACCGAATTTACCTGTCATGGCTCCTATAGCCTGTCAAAGCTTACGGATGAATTCTGAGGGATCCTTGATTATCAGATTGATTTGCTGGAAAGAACTTACATTTTAAAGAAATACAAAGTGCCATTTTCAGACACTTGGTTTTTTTTAAGGCTGTTTTCACAGGCTATTAAAACAAGAACAGACTTGGCCTTCTAGGCCTTCTCTTGTAAGTAGATGCTGCCTTTTCTGTTACCTGCATCGAGCTCTAAGTTGGTCTATTTGTGGCCCAACTACTTAAAAATTTTATGCCTCTGACTGAGGTGCTTTTTGTCCAGTTTATGCACAAAGCTTTTATGAATGCTCATTGGATGCTTCATGTCATAACATGGCTCATCGTTACAGGGATTCAGATAAACCATCTGTCAAATAATATTCCTCAAGATATATAAAGAGAAATGTAAAAGCTAGACCATAAGATAGCAGTTCTTTCCGTGTTTCAGCAGTAGCAGTATAATTATGTGGTTCCACCACACATTCTCATGTCAACTGCTGGGAGCCTGTAAGGAGTGATCCTGAGGCAAAGATGACAAGATGGTGTTGACTCCCTTAAGATTCTCTTACGGGTCAGAGAATATCCAGAAAAAGGCCTCGGGCAAAAACTGTGGACTTTGAGCTTTATTTTATTTATTTATTGTTATTGTTATTGTTTTAGTCACCTCATCATCATTGCTGTGTTACTGATTGAATACAGTAATTAATGTGCTCCCTGGGATGGCCACGGGCCCTCACTTGTCCCGTGCTTTGTGCTGTCTTTTGTATGATGCCCACTGTGGTCAGTGTCACTTTTCCTCACTCATTCTCAGGTGGTAACTGAAAAGTGAAGGAATAAAGCTACTCTCTCTTCTTTTGTTCTCTGAATTCTAAGTGTTGCCTTTGTGCTTTAAAGAGACTTTTATGTACTCTAGGTTCAACCGAATCTTCACTTCCCTTGGAAAAAGAGGAACAGATCCGACTTCAAGCTCGAAGACGACTGGAAGAGCAGCTCAAACAGTATCGAGTGAAAAGACATCAGGAGAGAGTAAGACTGTTGTTATGAGCAAGCCTGTCAGCACAGGCTGATGAAAAGTGGGATTGTAACGGGCGAGAGCAAAAAGCAGCTGGAAACTTAAAAGACTGACGAACAGCCAGCTGCTTTCTAGAACTAGAGAATCTCTGAGCGAGGAGGGGTCTCACAGTCACCTAGCGCAGCCCGTAGCCGAGCATGGCACCGTTTGGCCGGGGCGCCAGATCCATCGGCCCAGCCTCAGGTCACAGGCCTTTGCGCCTCACATCAAGCCCTCTAAAACCCCCAGGTTTTTTCACATAAAACCACATCTGGCTGCCCCTTTCCTGGCTTGTGCTTGTTTGACTCTAAAGAGAGGACTTTGATCCTTTGATCTCTATTACCTTTCATCTTATTGATGTCCTGTCCTCTCAGCCTGTTAAGGTCTTTTTAAATCTCAGTTCTTTCTTCCCTTCTGTTGCTCTCCAGTTTCATGTCATCTGCAGACTTGATAAATGTGCCATCTGTCAATGAAATAGATCCCAAGTCATTGATAAAACTTGAAATAATGCTGGTTCAGGGACTTCAGATTCCCAAGACTACCCTCCAAGTTGACAATGACTTCCTGTGACTCCTCTTTGGGTCCTGGTCATTTAGCTAAATCTTTCTCTCTCACCATGACCTCCCATCTGGCCCCTAAGGCTGTCATGAAAGGATGTGCCTGATACTTGACTGAGATCTAGGTGTCCCTGCTGACCCTCCTCCCTTTCCAGGCACTCAGAAACACCCCTCTCTCTTACTGATGCTGTCTGTCCTTCTGCTAGGAATCAGGCTCAGTGGACTGTCCAGGTGTTGCAGGCCCATCCTCTGACTTTTTTGGAAGAACTTTCTCTGGTTCTGAGATTCCCTTCACAAGGGAATTGACAGCAGCGTATATTTGCCAGTTTTTTGTTTTTGTTTTTTCAGTACCCTGGGAAGTTCATTCTGGACTGATAACCAGAAGTGCCTGAGGGCTGGTCAGAGGCCCATGTCCCACATCTTCTCTTGTAGGAGCTAAGCGGCTCTGTTTTTTCTCCATCTGGTTCTTCTCACTGCTCACCCCAGGCAGCCGTGCAGGCCCACCTTTGGCCTCCTCCCTGCCCCTTTTGTTATCATTATCCTCAGGCCCCATTCTTGGTTTATTCTGAGCTTTAGTTCTCTGTCCCCACTATCCTTGTCGAGCACCCAGAGGCTGGCTACAGGTGGTGAACTGTTTTCAGCTCCAGTAGCTCCTGAAGGAAGTCTGCTTGAGGTTTGGGGCAGTGATGGGATGTGGCCTGTGATGGTGGAGAGAGGACCTATCCACACCCCCTCTCTCACACACATGGGCAAAATCACAGCTCCTGATAGTGTTGCTGCACTAAAGACGAAGGGAGCAAGAAGAAAATCGCTAGCTGTGGCTTTGAAACTTTTAAACATGCTGTTTGTTTGTGTCCTTTTCTTTCAGTCTAATCAGCCTGCATCCAAAAACCGACCCACCAGCACCCTGGACCCTGAGCTCATGCTGAACCCAGAAATCTTACCGAGAGCCAGCCCAGTAGCAATGACAAAAGAATATTCCTTCCTCCGAACCAGCGTCCCTCGGGGACCCAAAGTAGGCAGTTTAGGACTTCCAGCACATCCAAAGGAGAAAAAAAGTTCCAAATCAAGCAAAATCCGGTCTCTGGCAGATTATAGAACTGAAGATTCAGACTCTGGAATTTCTAGTGGAAACTTTCTGGCTCCCGACTCTGCCAGGGGCTCCCTGCATCAGAACAGAAGCAGTTTGACATCAGTGGTATCTGAGATCAGCCTGCCTCCTGAAACGGATGACCGACTGGAGAATTCTTCGGTGGCAGGAGACAGCATCTCTGAACTGGACGGAAGTGAAGGGGGCATGAAGCTGGATGGCAATGACAGCGATAGCTCGTCTTACAGCAGCATCTCTGGCAGAGGAGCGTACGGAGTGCTGGGCACAGCAGGCAAGCAGGCAGCTTCCTACCTGGTCAATGGCCAGGAGATCAGTTCCGATGCAGTGGGGCAGTTTCCTTCCATTAGAGATGTCCTCCAGGCCGCTGCAGCCGAGCACCGCACCCCAGAGTCGGATGTCAGTGGGGATGTGCAGAGTCGGAGAGACAGCATTTCCAGCAGGTAAGGCCTCATCAAGGTCCCAGCACGTGCAGGAGCCTGAACCTCCCTGGGGGCTCTGTCCGCTTCTGCAAGTTTGTGCCAGGCACTGAGCTAGGCACCAGAGGAACAAAGACAAAGTAGAGGCTCCCCACCATCCAGGGGGGCTGACATTCCTTGGTAGACTGTCTCACTGCTTTGGGACTTTTTCAAAGGGATTGCAAACAGCATTTTCCTAGAAAGATCACAGGATCTAGATCTTAGAAAGAACGTTAGATGTGGTCCAGGCCCCAGATTTTACAAAGGGGGACACTGGGGTGCAGAGAGGTATGTCGTTTGAGCAAGGTCCTACAGGTTGTAAGCAGAGGTGGGATTTGAACTCGGGTCCTTTGACTCCCTAGTCAGTGCTCCTTCCCTTGTACCCCTCCTGCCTCGCATACTGCCGCACTGACTGTTGTCGGAGTCTTCTGAAGCATTGGCTGTCCCGTTGCTTTTGCTGTCTTAACCCTACAACCTGTCGTGCCCCTGCGTTGCCCTTTGGCTCAGCACCTTGTGCTGGCTCCTAATTGTCCTTGGATTCAAGTCCAGACTCCCTGGCTGGCTGTTCGAGGCCTTACAGCCTGGCCTTGGTAGCTGCTTCACGTGGTCCCGAGTAATGCTTTTTCTGTCTTCAACTCAACAAGTTGCCATTTCCCAAACAAACCTCAGTCTGTATTTTAAAAATGTTTAAACCTGTCTTCTGTCCCCATTAGACTGTAATCTCCTGGAGGGCAAGGCATGGCTTCTCTCTTAGTTCTCTCTGTATTTCCCCCACCACCAGTAGTAGCTTGCATTCCTGTAGTCAACCCTGCAGAGCCTAAGGAGAAGAAATTATGAGTTATGAAGCACTTTCGCCACAGGAACCCATGGAGCTAAGGGTCATAGTACTATTTCCATTTCACAAATTAAAAAAGACTCTGAGAGGTGAGGAGGCTGGCATCTGGCACGCTCTGCGTGTATCATGTACTTGGTGAAGGTTTCTTGGGTTAGAGTGGTAGGGTGTAGGCTGTCCATAGCCTGGGACGGGCCGAGGCAAGTTTGTCCAGCTCCTTCACGGGAAAGATGAGAAAGCCCAGACCCAGAGAGTGAAGGGACAGCCTGTCCAGGGTCACACCACGGCTCAGTGGCAAAGCTGGGCCTCAGACCCAGATCTGAGCACGGTTCTCTTACCCCCACCCCTACGTCCTGGCTGAGTGGGATTGAACTAGATCTGAGGGGTTGTCTTTCAGAATTTCATCTTTAGCACTGACATTTATAGCTTAAGCAGCAAGTCAGTTACTTGGTACCAGCGGGGTCATTCTTACAGGTGTTTTATTCTGTCCACTAGGATATGGAAGGCTCACCGGAGATCCAAGCAGAGGGAAAACAAAACCTCTTGCATAGACGTAGGGCCTCCTTTGTCTGTCCTTTGACTTGTTACTCTGACCTTCAGACTCTTCTTGTAATAGAGGGTTTGATAGAAGTTATTTTCAAAAGTCGTTGTTATGTCTCCCCTTTGTTTATAGCAGATCCTAGTGCAGAGAGAGAGAAATTATGTGTTCTCCAACATGTAAATTAAATCCATCTTCAGATATGATTATTTCTTTCAATACACATTCACCTTTGTATACCGTCCTATTTCTGTAAAGGTGACTACCCATTGAAGGGTCAAAGGCTTCGTGCCAGTGTTGCTTCAGGGTGGAGGCAGGCGGTCCCGTCCCCCTCCCACCCCCGTATCTCATTAGACGCCATGCCCTATCCTGCCTCCAGAATATCTCCTCCTTGCCGTTCCAGCAGCCCCCACCCAAACAGGGCCCCCCTCACCTTCCACTGAGATGATTGCAGGGGCCTTTGAGCAGATCTCTGTTCTCTCCTGCCCCCAAACCCCTACTCGCCCTCTGCCATATTCACCTTCCTGTGCACAGGTCGGGGCATGCCTCTCGTCTGCCCAGAAGCCTTTCATGGCTGCCTCTCATCTGCCGTTTACAGCCTCCTCCCTTGCTCTAAGGCCCAGCCGCTCCAGTGCCCCCTCCTCTGGCAAGTCCTCCTGTTGCTAATGACCTACTGAACTGTCAGGTCCTTGAGGGCTGGTATCATTTCTTGTTGTGTTTTCTCCAACACTACCCCGGGTCTTACTGGGCCTTTTGTTTACCCTTAAATGTTGTTTTGTATCCTAGTTATTTATGTAGACCTCATGTTCTCACATTGAGCTCCAGGAGGCTGAGGACCAATGTGTTATCTAAATTGGGTCTGAGCACAGAGCTGGGCACACAGTCGGTGCTTAATAACTGTACGTTGAGCTTGTCATTTAGTAATATTGATGTTTACTGAACTGCTTCCCTCTGAAAGCATGTCTTACCTTTCAGCATATCCATGGAGAGCTCTATTGCTGGGACTCATGATGAAATGCTGCAGGTTCTTAAAGAGAAAATGAGGCTGGAAGGGCAACTGGAGGCCTTGTCTTTAGAGGCTAGTCAGGTAACTGATCCGTATTTAGCCTTCCTAATGTTACAATCACAATGCAGCCAGAGCTTATTGGAAGAGTGATTTGTCGATGACGTAACTGTCTCACAAGGTTACTACCTTTTTCTTCCACTAGTCTTATGCATAGAGCCGTAGAGCGGAGGGGAGATAGCAGGGTCTGGAGACAGAACTGATCAGTAGCCTGGGGCTGTGTTTACATCATTTGCTGGCCTCAGATGACTTCTCTCGGGGTGCTCTGGTAGTATTCTGTCCTTCAGACATTAAGCACCTGCCAGTGGGACCTGGGAATACAAAGGCCCCCCCAAAAAATATCTCTAACCTCAAGGAGTTAAGGCCTCTTGTGAAGATGTAGTAAGTACAGATTAATTTTGAGGAGAAAGACTCTTCGACAGAGACAGTTGATCCCTACTGAGTATTGAGGAGGAGGAGTAATGATAACAGTGCTGTCATTTTTGTTTTTATAAGGCAAAATGTGAATGCAGTGCCCTTTGGTTCAGGGAGACATGGTAGTTCAATAGACGATAACGGTGTGGCGTGTTTGGGCTCCTTTCTCATGTGTTGTGGACTGAGCTGCCTCAGGAGAGCACGAGTTTCCCCTTGCTTCAAGGCAGAAAGACTACTCGCTTCTTGCAGGCTTTGGAAGGGGCGCTTGTCTTTTGGCCACAGATTGGAGAAGATAGTCTCTGAGGCCTTCCTTCCTTCCTTCTCTGAGATTCTGGGCTTCTGTAGTCTCATTGCATTGTTCACCCTCATTCTACCGATTAGAAAACACAGGCCCAGCAAAGGCAAGGAATTTTCTGAGGGTGAAAATTGAAAGGTCCGTTCAGAAGGCTCCTAAGTCCTAATTCAGAGGCCCAGGCAGTTTCTCCACAATCCACCCTTGTCCCTTAGACGTGTCATCCATAATTGCTAGGCCTTTTGGGTCCTGCTGGTAAGAAGGGATCTTTTTTTTTTTTTTTTCTGAAAAGGTAACATTTTGTTGTTTGGGAAACGTTTCAGGCCCTTAAAGAGAAGACTGAGCTGCAGGCCCAGCTCGCGGCCTTGGACACCAAGCTTCAGGCCCAGGTGGAGCAGAGCCGAAGCAGCCAGCAGAAACAGGATTCGCTGAGCTCCGAGGTGGACACCTTGAAGCAGTCCTGCTGGGATCTGGAGCGGGCAATGACTGACCTGCAAAACACCCTTGAGGCGAAAAACGCCAGCCTGGCTTCCTCCAACAATGACCTGCAGGTGGCCGAGGAGCAGTACCAGAGACTCATGGGAAAAGTGGAGGACATGCAGAAAAGCATCCTCAGCAAAGACAACACAGGTAGCTTTTAGCATTTGAAGGCTTTTTGGTCATTCAGTCACCAGGAGTCTGTGAAACACCTACTGTGGGTCAGGCCCAGAGGCTGCAACACTGCACATAGGCCACATGGCTAGTTAAGAGTCTGAGGCAGAATTAGAACCTGGATCTCCCTGTCTCCCAGTCCAGCAGCAGTCTGTCTGCTCTACCAGGCTGCCTCTAATGCCTCTTGCTTATGGTAGGCATTCCTATGTAGAGCAGTGCTCAGCCAGTTAGTAAATGGTACTGCTTTTCTAACGTGTTATCTAATTTCCCTCACTGGGGACTCTTAGGGTATGAGGAAGGCTTTCAGACAAAGCCACAGTATAGCACGTGGACCTCCTGTGGAGGCACACAAGGGCACTTGTCGGTTCTCCTCGAGTTCCAAGGCCGGGGGCCGGGCCTTGGCCATCAGTTAGAGAGAACACAAACATAAGCAGACGTTTGCCGGTGGTTGATGAACATTATTGGCCTGTTCAGATAGATGCTGAAGTGTCCACATAGGTACGTGTTCTGTTGATAAGGAAGACTTGTTACTAGAATTCTGACTTTGCAAGTGAGAAAGCTGGCGTTGACCTCGGCATGGGCTTTGTTTTTAGTGCACGACCTTCGGCAGCAGATGACAGCCTTACAGAACCAACTGCAGCACGTTCAGCTGGAGCGCAGCACGCTGACGAGCAGGCTCCAGGCCTCCCAGACCGAGATCACGTCGCTGCAGAAGGTCCGGCAGTGGTACCAGCAGCAGCTGGCACTGGCCCAGGAGGCCCGGGTTAGGCTGCAGAGCGAGATGGCCCACATCCAGGTAGGCCTTTCCCCTCGCCCGCCTTGACTGTTCATGGTGTACATACGCACCAGCGTTTATGGCTCTGAAGTTTCTACCCAAGTACCGTAGCACACATTCACAGTCACACTTCTTCAAATTAATGTCAGATTGGGTGAGAATTAGCGAATTTGTGAACGGTTCTCAAGTTTACACTTTTTTCCCAAAGTAGGTTGGGTTTTTATTTTTGATTTTTTTACTTCCATTAGTAAACCAAGCGATTTACATTTTCCAATATTATTTCACTTTTCTGCCAGGGAATGACCTAAACCATAATGCCTGAGTTTGCTTACTGTTATTCCCCAGCTATGGTTTGTGTCTTTTAGACAATTGGTCTTTTTATTCACATATAAAATGTTGGTTTTGGTCTTGAAGGCCTGGTTCTTGGCTCAGCTGTGTCACTGTTTGGTAGGCACAGTCCCTTTGTGGGTCACAGCACTGGACTAGTAAGAGCCGTAACAGTCCTGCTTTCTGTAATGCTTTGTAAGACTCACGTGCTTTTGTGTATTTTATCATTTTCTGTCCACAGTTGAGACCAGGGCAGTCATTCTCAAACTCGAATCCATAAGCCTTGGGACAGGACCATAGAGCTAGAGTTTTTCCAGTACTGAAACAGGTGGCAGGCCTAGTGACACACAACTGGAGTCCCTGTTGCTGGGAAGGCCGAGGCTGAAGCTGGGGCATCGCTTGGTTCTAGGGGTTCTGAGCAACAGTCAGGCGCCTAAATACGGCACAAGTTGGGGGGCCCCTGGGAGCAGGGAAACTGCTGGGCTGCCAACAAGGGGCAAACTGGTTCAGGCCAGAAATGAAGCAGTTCACGTCTTCCATGTCAGTCAGCAATGGAGGTGGGCCCAGGAGCAGCCCCTACCCTTCCTGCCTGGGCCAGACAGGGAGACTCAGTCTTAAAAAAGCTGAAAGGGACCTCGTAGGTTATCATTTTTCCAAATTCCTACACCACAAAGAAGAACTCTCACACATTGGGCCTCACCTGGCCTCAGCTTGAACACTTCAGGAAGCAGTATGGCTTGGGAGGTGGGGAAACTCAATTCAAACCCTTCCTCTAACACGACGTGGGGCAGGTGACTTTACCTCTTGGAGTTAGGGACAATAGTAGCATCTGCTTCCTGGCTGTTGGTAGCTTCAGATGAGGTAACAGATGTGGAGTGTGCCCTGTAAACTCTAAAGTGCTATGTCTGTGTATGTATGTGTTTCCATATATACATATACATACATGCATATATACATATATATACACACACATACATATACATATATATACACATACGTTTGTGTCAGATGTTATTATTAACTCCTTCCATCTATTGAGCTGAAATCAAACTCCCTGTGACTTCTGCTCATTAGTCTTAACTCTACCTTTTGGAGGCTTCTCTATATAACAGACCTTGAAATAGTTAAAGGCAGTAATTGTGTCCCCTTTTTTCAGGATGGTCACCCCCAACTCCTTCTGTCCTTCCTTCTCTGAGATACTTTCCTGACACTTAACCACTTTTTTTGCCTTTTTCTGTGAGCACTCTAGTTTATGTGGGATGTTACCCCTAAAACTAGACACAACACTACTAATGCAGAGTATACTGGAACCCTTATTGCTTGCATCAGGAGGCTCTGAAGCCTTCAGTGCATCAGCATTTTGGGGAGCACCATTGTATTACTGATAAAATTTTCAAAGCAACCAAAACTACAAGATTCTTTTTACAGGGACTACTGTTAAGCCCAAGTCTATCCCTTCCTGTCCTTAATTTTTTTATATTAAATATAAAACTTTATATTTATCCTTGTCTAATTTCATGTGGTTATTTTTAGTCTCTAAGACAGAAGGTACTAACCTGCATCAGTAGAGGGAGTACCATCATCTGAGAGTTTCCCATTCTAATGGAATCACAAGTCCAGTGCCTAATAATAGTTTGATTCTAATCAGATCTTTTAAAAATCTGGATTCTTTCACTAAATATAATACCGCTCCCTCTTAGCTTTGTAGTATCTACAGAGTTGTCTAAACATGCCATTTGTCTTCAAATCCTTAATAAAATGTGAGACAGAACAGGGTTCTGGGGCAAGCCCCTGTCATCTCCCTCGAGGTTTCCATCAATCCACCTCTCAGGAACACTAATAAAAGCCCTTTATACCATACAAAGCACTTGTTATACATTCTCATTCAATCCTTACAACAACCCTGGAAGGAGGATAGGATGGTCTCCATTTTATAGGGAGCAAAACAGGTCCCAAAGATTAAGTGAATGTCACACAGCTAATAATTGGCAGCACCAAGATTCAAACCTGGATCCTGGACTCCCCAGCTGCAGAGAGTGCTCTTTCTTCCACAGCACAGTCACCTCCAAATCAACCATCTTTGGCACCAAATTATACTCCTGCCATTTGGAAGCAGAAAGTCAGGATGAGTGTGGGATACATTCTTTCAGAGCAGGCGAGATCACTCAGATGGTCCTTAGGCTGAGTCCCACTGTCCTGGATTACTTAGAACTGATTGTATCTTAATAAGAACAGTGAGTAGAAATGGTTGAATACAGGTATTTGAAATAAATTTAGCAAACCCCAAAGGAAGATGTCTCTTCCACTTTTGAATCCAGTAACTTTTGATTCTCTCTTTTTTCCCCCAAGGTTGGGCAGATGACCCAGGCAGGCATTCTAGAGCACCTTAAACTGGAGAATGTGTCATTGTCCCATCAACTGACAGAGACTCAGCAGAGGTCCATCAAGGAGAAGGAACGGATTGCTGTCCAGTTACAAAACATAGAAGTAAGAATCCCCTTTTGGGTTTCCCTTATCGTTTAGTCGCAGGATCAAGAAAGCAAGCTCCCCCCTTCTAAGTGGGGATGGATTGTTAACCCACCTGAATTCTGACTCTGACCTGTCACCAGCACCACTTCTCTTCTTTTGGTGTTCTCTGTGGTTCCAGGGTAGTCCTCAACCCCTCTTCCATCTCTCCGTCTCTCAAACTGCGCCCCACTCCCAGTGCTCCTTGTATAAAGAATGGTCCCTGGAGTGGGCTGGGGCCCTTGAGCCTCAGTGTCTTCTTAGAGGGAATAAATGGCTCCTACATGGTGTTTTCATGCACTGCAGTTATCATCTGACTTGGGGAATAGAATCACGGGGAGTTTTTGTTGTCTGGCTACGCAAAGGGCTTTATTTGTGTGAGTTAGAAGAAAAGCGAGAGATTCCAGGGGCCAGGCTGTTCTTCCATACAGAGTAAAGTCTTAGATGCCTTGTCACGTCAGGCCACGGCCCCTGTAATCTCTTATTTTGTCTCCTTAAGGAAGAGTTGGCTTTGGTGATCTCATCACATCAGCCATAGAAGGGTAGAGACACACGCCAATAGCCTTAACTTCCCCTAGTAAACCCTTCTGTTTTGGAGGTCACATCCATGAATTTATCTAAATCAAGAGTTCTTGACCTAGGATCCATGAACTTGTTTTTGTTTTTCTATTTAGCATTTTGATAACTGTACTTCAATGTAATTGGTTTCCTTTGTAATCCTGTGTATTTCATTTCTGCATCTGAGGAGTCTGTTGACTTCTCCAGAGTTCCAAAGGCCTCTCGGGCACAGTAAGGGTTAAGACCTGCTCTAAATCCTTCTAGGGCCTAGTTTAATTTCAGTATGTACTGCCAACTGTCCTGTATATTTTCCTGTACTCCTACAGCTACTACTTTCCCGCCTCAAAAAGTAGCTGATCATTATGTATTTCCTAAATTACAAAGCCCATCTTTGTTCTGGCCATACGTGCCATGATTCTTCAAGTTACATACACTTAGTGCATCTGTTCTATTATGTCTTTCTTGAATTACAACCAGGAGCTGCATGTATCCTATTAAGAGTGTAGATACAGTTGTGATTTTGTACACAGGAAGAATAATTTCATGTGTATCTTTCAACTTCTATCATTTCTGATCCATGGGATTCCCCAGCCCTCCCTAGTTCATGCCCTCATCCCCTCTCCCCCAGATTACGAGAATGACCTGTAACAAGGGTTTCTGCCTCATGTTGCTCCCTGTTCAAGCCATCCCTTACACCACTTTCTGTGCAGGCCGGAGACCACCTCTGCTAGCAGCTCCCTGGCATGTTCCTCACACATACAGAGAGATTGTGGGGAGAGCTTGGAGCTCTCCAGGTACAGAAGCGCTAGTCAGCTGACAGAGAAATGAGAGCAGCCCCCACCCACCTCAGACTTGGAGCCAGGGAAACCATCTTGAAAGAAAGGGAGCCTTGCAAATTAGTTCTAAATGTCTCTTGCCTCTGTATGTACATGTCTTATCCATCTCACTAAAAGTAAACTCCTTCAGAGCAGAGACTGTGGTTGATTTTGTTTTCTGTGTCCACAAGACTTTGCGTGCAGTAGTTGCTTAATAAATATTTGGTGATTTGAATTGAATAGAATGTCTTCCTGGTTCCAACACCTGTCTTGATGATCACCAGCATTTTGTTGGGTTTTCTGGGCATAAATAGTTGAATCTTTAGGAAATGTGTATTTTTTCCCACGTTCCTTTCCTGGGTTGTCAGAGACGTCAGGATCATCTGCATTGTGTATCCTTAAGAGTGTCTGTTGTCTTATCCATTCCCCCCTTTTTTGCTTTTCTGGCTTTTGAGATCTCATGAGATTCATCCTCATCAGTTTTAAATTTCACTGCTTGGAATAATGTTAACTGCCAGGTGTCATTTCCAGATCATCTATAAAAGCGTATGATTGATTCTGACACCAGTCCCCAAGGAAGCGTACTATTAGCACCGCCTCATCCAGGAAATCATTCCAGTGTTCATCTTTGCTTCTGCCTCTTCACAGTTCTTTTTGTCCATGGTAGAGCATTCCCTTAAGCACATGTTTTGGTTGTAGGTTGGTGATTTTTAAACAACCTGTGGTGTAGAAATTGTCAGTCATTCAAATGAGTATTTATAGAGCCTCTTTTGAGAGTCCAGTGTGGTCCAGAGGGAGATAACAAGGAAAATCCTTGATTCTAATCAATAAATTATGTCCTTTGGTACCCTTTTATCCATACACTCAAAAGAATTCAAGGAGATTAATTAGACTTGATTTCCCTATCAAGAAATCATGTTGACTTGTGCTTATACCCAAAGTTGTTTATGTAACCAATTGTCCTGCCTTTTTCTATTGATTTGACTTGTCAATTCTAAGAATGAATGCGATTCCCTCGTCGGTAGTTCCCAGGACCTTTTCTTTAGCTCCTCTTGTGAATGGCCCTCCCATTGGCACAGTGACTTGTTTGGCCCCCAGCTGTATAATCCTACCTCTCGGGGCCTGTGGCTCTTTTGAATGTCTGATCTGTGGTCCCAGTGACACATCCCGAGGAAGTCTGCTGAGGTTTTGTTCTGGAGGAAAATAAGGTTATGATTGTATAAGTTAGAATACATCTGTCTTTTGTTCATCGCTCCCTCATTTTTCTGTTTTAAAAGTCAAAACGCCCTCCCTTGTTGTGGTGCTTATAGGTCCTGATGATGGCTCACCTTCAGAGAGACCGGTTTCCGGGAGCATTGGCCTGGTGAGGAGCGGAGGGGCCGAGTTGTCTTGTGTGTAACCGTCTCATGGCTTTCATGTCTAGGCGGACATGCTGGACCAGGAAGCAGCATTTATTCAGATCCAAGAAGCCAAGTCCCTGGTGGAAGAAGACCTGCAGAGGAAGCTGGAGGAGTTTGAGGATGAGAAGGAACACTTACAAAAAATGGCTGATTCTGCCGCGTCCTTGGACCAGCAGCTCCAGCAGGTGAGGGCGTGGCCAAGGCCCACCCCAGATGATAACACAGATACTTCTATTCACTGGGGTGGTTTTTTGTTTTGATTTGATCTTAAAATTGCAGGGTTAATTGCCACCTGTCTAATGTATGCCTGTGCCTAGAAGGGTGTGCACTGTGGGGAGAGGGCCAGAAGACCTAGATTCGGATCCTGCCTCCAGCAGAGGCTCGGTAACCACGGACAAATCATCTAACCTCCGAGGGCCCCAGAAAATCCTACGATACAAGTTACCAGTGAGCTGGACCGAGCTCTTACACATACAGTTCCCGCCACTGATCAGACCCCAGGTCTAGTCTGAGAGAACCAAAAAATTAGGCATCACATGACGTGATAGCCAGCACTCAAGTATTTCTCTGGCTTCTAAGTTTTTCTAAAACCTAAACAGCGGCCCAGGGAAGAGACAAGTGAACACTGAAGGGGTAGTGCTGGGTAGTGGTGGCTTATGGTGTTGGCTTCTCACAGGTAAAGCTGACTCTGCATCAGCGAGACCTGCAGCTGGATGCCCTGCAGCAGGAGCACCTGGACCTCATGAAGCAGCTCACCCTGAGCCAGGAGACGCTGCATACCCGCGAGCAGGCCCTCGGCGAGCTGCAGACCCGCCACGAGGAGCTGCAGGCCCGGCTGGAGGAGCTCCAGGGAGACGTGGCCGCCAAAGATGACACCGTCCAGTTTCTGCAGAACGAGAAGATCGTCCTGGAGGTGGCGCTACAAGCGGCCCGCGCGGGGAAGGAGGAGTTTGACCGTGGCGCCCAGCAGCTGGAGGAGGACGCAGACGCCGCCTCAGAGCTCTTGGAGCAGCTGAGACAGGAGATAGCCGTCAAGTGCAGCCAGGTGAGGAAGTGGCTGCCCGCTGGGTTACGCTTACTGGGGTGAGAGGAGATGGGCTCCCTCAGGAAAATGTTTTTAAAGTTTATGTACAAGTTTTCCTTGGGGAATAAACAACAGTAGAACTCCCGGGGGCAAAGACTGGCTGGAGAGGAAGAGGCAGAATCCAGGGAGGCCGGTGCAGGGAGCCCTGTCTGCCAGGCCACCTTGGAAGCCACTTTGTACCTCCCTCAGCCATGTGGCCTCTGGCACGTAATCCTGCCACTGGAGCTGTTTCTTTTTGGGCACAGTAGCTTTCCTCTTACTGCTGTTATTAATATATGTATGTTGTTGTTAATATGTTAGCTGTGTATAGGGTCAGAGAAAGATGGAGTTAAGTTGTAGTACTTGCCTCTTGAGAGAATTGTCCAGTTGTCATGTGTACCAGCATTTTGAGGTGATTCACAAAAGGTACCATGGCCTTATGGGAGGACCACCGTACCTGAAAGAGAACTGGGCTTCATGTCTAACTTGTACTGACACTCTGTGACATAGGGCAACTTTACACCTTTTCTTTAGCTCCTCTTGTGAATGGCCCTCCCATTGGCGCAGTAACTTGTTTGGCCCCCAGCTGTATAATCCGACACTGACACTCTGTGACATAGGGCAACTTTACACCTTGGAGCCTCAGTTTTGTTATCTGAAAATAATCAATCAATAAACATTTATTAAGTGACTACTATGTGCAAGTCACTTGCTAAGCACTAAGGATACAAAAAGAGGCAGAAGACAGTGCCTGCCCTCAAGGAGCTTACAATCTAATGGAGGATACGCCAAGAAAACAAATATGCTCAAGCACGGTATATACAGGATAAAGATAGGGAATAATTAACAGGAAAGGCACCAGAAGTAAGAGGGGTTGGGGGAGACTTCCTGTAAAAGGTGGGATTTTAGTTGGGACTTAAAGAAAGGAGGTCAGTAGGTGGAATGGAGAAAGAAGAGTGTTCCAGGCATGGAGGATAGACAGAGAAAATGCCCAGAGCATGGAGGGTCTTGTTCATGAACAGCCATAAGGTCAATGTCACTGGACCAAAGAATATGTGTAGGGGAATAAGGTGTGAGGAGACTGGAAAGGGAGGAGGGGCCAGGTTGTGAAGGCTTTGAATGCCAGACACAGCTTTTTGTGTTTGATCCTGGAGGCAATAGGGAGCTTCTGGAGTTTATAGAATGTGATGGAGGGAAGAGGGGTGACATGATTGGACCTGAGCTTTAGGAAAAAACACTTTGGGCTGAGTAGAGGATGGCAGAATAAAGGTGGCAGAGTGGTCCAAGGTTGGTTTTAATGTGTTTTGTTCACTTTGTAGCTAGGGCCAGTCCAGAGTTCTTCTGATTCATCTCTTAAATGTCCTTGGTGTAGTTCAGAGAACAAAAGAGGGAGTATGTGATTGGTGCTTTGACAGAGAATGACTGTTTTCCTAAATCTTTGACTGCAAACTCTTTCCCAGGTCCTGCTGGAGTTTTAGAAGCCTGATGATTAAATATATAAGGCACTAGTTCAAGACATTGTCCTCTCCCTCATTAATGATAAATGTGTCAGTCTCACTGATGCTCCGTTTTGACTTGATGATTGAACTTCAGTTCTATCTCTGGCATTAGAGCATCTCTATGAAACGTCTCTGGGTCAGGAAGCGGGGAGATCTTTCAGTCTGCCCTCAGGGTTTGTAGGCCTATCAGGATGTGCCTGGGAGGGTTTATTAAGCACCATGTGGGGCTCAGTGATAGAGATAAAAAAACAAAGGGAAATTCCACTCTATTTGTGGGCTTGAAGTATCCAGCCTTTTCTCAGGTATGTAACTATGAGGTCATTTGAGGAGAGAAATAGCGATCCATGGGGAGGAGGAGAAGCTTCATGTACATCATACCGGACACTAAAATGGCACCTGAAAGGCTGCTAGGGAATCTCAGAGACAGAGCAAGAAGAAGGAATCCACTCCAGGCATGGGGTCACCCACGTAGAGGCACAGAAACGGAGTATTGAATTTGAGGAGCAAACTAGTAGAAAGCAAAAATAAAGGGAAGAAAGATGATAAAAAATAACCTGGAGTAGCAAGTGAGAGGGAGACTCTGGAGGGTTTTGAATGCCAGGTAGCAGAATTTATTTTTATCCTAGATGAATACAAATAATGCCCCCATTAAAGATGTTTGAGTAAGAGAATAACACAACTATACCCGTGTCTTAGAAATATAAATTTGGTGGGTCTTCCCAGTCTTTGATGCAGTGACCCTACTGTTAGTCATGTACCCCAAGGCTGTCAGAGGCAGAATAGTCACATACGTAGTTGGAATATTGACAGGAGCACTTTTTGTGGTGGCCACAAGAACTGGAAGCAAAGCAGATGCCCATTGATTGGGCAAAGACTGAACAAAATGTGGTGTGTTAATGCAATGGAGTAGTATTTGGGCTCTAAGAATAGGAAGCATTCAGAGAAGTATAGAAAGACTCATATGAACTGATGCAGAGCAAGGGAAGCAGAGTCAGGAGAACATTACACACGAAGACTCCACAGTGTCAGTGAAAACTATTTAAAAAGCATTTGAACTCAAGTCAAAAGTAGTAACTCATATTGGTTCTAGAGGACAGCTAGTAAAACATACTTCCCTCCTTCCAGTAGAGAAGCGAGGGACTACAGGTGTGGAACTTTGCCTGTGTTCTCAGACGGGCCCACTGGGTTAGTTGGTTTTATTTGACTGTTTCTTTTTTTTTTTTTTTTTACGAAGCAAGGTTTTCTGCCAGTGGGCAGTATATTGGGAAATGGCTAGAGATATCAATAAAACCTTTTATAGATGTTAATTTGCCAGCTTTGTGGAAGATAGATTGGAGAAGGGGATGACTGGAAGCAGGGAAACCAATTAAAAGGCTTGTGGAATAGTCCAGGTGAGAGGTGATGAGGCCCCAAATGAGGTTAGTGGCCTTGTGAGTGAAAAGAGGAAAGGGATTATAGAAGTCAAGTGAACAGGAATTGTCCACTGATTGAACTCAGGTGTGAGGCAAAGGGAAGGGCAAGGCTAGGGTACCTCAAGGTTGTGAGGGAACCTGGACGAGGTAGATAGTCTTTGAGATTTTTTTTCCATGTTTGGCTGCGTGAAAACAGACTCTTGGATGGTAGTTTTTTTTGAATGAATGTCTCCCTGGATCCCGGGGGTGGGGATAACAGAGTGTGTTTGTATTTCCTGTCCCAGGTGGAAAACCTGCAGCAAGAAAGCATCACTCTGAAAAAACAGACTCAGAAAGTGAAGGAGCAGTTTCTTCAACAAAAGGTAGAGTGATGCTCCTTAAATGAAAGTAACAAGTGAAAATTCATATTGATATAATACACTCTGTAGATAGAAACATTACCTTTTAGCTGATCACAGAGACAGACTTTTAACCCTTGATTTGATTGGTTTTCTTAAAATATATTTATAAACTTTATCACAAATTCCCCCTTAAAAAAGTTGTTTATAGAGCTTGAGCGTGGAAACTATTGAAACAAGGGTTCTTAATTAAGAAAAGTCACCTTAGACACCTGTCCTAAGAATGGTCTATAATTCTAGTATGTCCTAGTAGGTGATGGTGGAAGCATACCGGAGAGATACGAGTTCCAAGGACCAGCTGATTAGTGAATTGAAAGCCACAAAGAAAAGACTGGACTTAGAGATGAGAAATCTGAGGCAGGAATTAATCAAGCTTCAGGGTGAAAAGAAGTCAGTGGAAGTGGAGCATTCCAAGTTACAGAAGGAAGTGTCCCAAGTTCAACAGCAAATGACTGACCTCGAAGGACAGCTCCAGCTGGCGCAGAGAGAACGAGATGAAATGGAGACACAGTTACAGGTCTGGGCGGTACTGGTGGAGTTATCTTGTGGGGATTTCCAACTTGATCACTTAGGTTACCAAGAAGTCTTTCACAAGTATTCAGCTCCTTGGCTCCTCCAAAGTGTCTTATTTTAAGAATAGGTCCTCGGGTAGGACTCCCAACACTGCAGGTAATGAGTATCCACAGAGGAAAGACTTCAAGAACTGAGACAGCAGAGAGCCCCAGTAACGTTTTGTCAGCTGGGTATATGTAGGTGCTTACGTAGCCTCTAGTGTACCTGGAATCATGTTATTCGTGATGTTCACCCCACATAGCAGATCCCTGTCAAAATAGCATCTGCTGCCATAAAGCAAGCCACCACAGAGAAGACTAAAGATGGTTTGTTTCCCAACCTCTCACATTGTTTATCCATCTCTTTCTTTTCAAGTCTTTGCAGTTCGATAGAGAGCAAGTGGCATCTCTTACAGAGGTGAATGAGGTGTTGAAACAGCAAGTAGAGCAAATGCAGCTAGAAGCAAGAAAGTGAGTATGCCGCTGAGCGCGATGACCCAGCCCAGCAGCGCCTGCTGCCTGGGGAATGCGTGCACGGAAGTTCAGACGGATGCATGGCAGCGTTCGTGGGAGCGTGGCTTCATCACAAGCAGTTTTTCTTAATTTATATGCCTCTATATGGACAGATACTGTGCCTCTCCATATATCCATATAGATGTATAGGTGTGGCTGTGTAGTTATCTACATATAGAAATGTAGACCCACATATGTGCATGCTTCAGTGCTTTGATAATTCTGTGATCTCATGTATGAAATCCTTCTTCCATAAGTATAAAATCTCTTACCATAAAATATCTTCTCATTCTGTGTACTTGTTATATCTCCTCATATATAAAAATCCATGAAAGAAGATATATCTTTCTCCAGGTTTTAGTTTTTTGAACATTTTGTAGACACTATTACAGCCCTTGGGCTTCTTACCTTTAATTGTGTATGCATCGAATTTGTTCTCATGCTTGTTAAATTTATACATGTACCTGTGAACAAGGAAAAAAGTTTACAAGTCCACAAAACTTTTATTAATCTGTTCTTCTGCCCAGGATATGCACAAACCCTAAAATGAAATGGACGTTTTTATATTATTACACCCTGGGTTGATGTCTGTTTGTCAACAACCCGTGTGGGCATGATCCACCTTTAAAAAAAACACAATCCAAGGTGGGATATTCCAGGTTGGTAGACTGGAGAGACTGGGGATGTTATTTAATTGTGAAAGGTTCCACAACTCTACAAAAGGAATAAATTCAGAGTCCTTGTAAACGGGAAGCTTCCTTAGTACATTTAAAGTTGAGTTCCTCTTGCAAAAATTCTGTTTGTGTCCTGTTTTGGGGTAGCCATTCTCTTTCACAAAATGGCAGACCACAATTTCTAGGCAGAAATGACAAGTTTAAGCTCAGTGACCCAGACATTATCTTTTAGCTTTCAAATCATGCTTTTTAATCAGAGAAGGTCAGAGTCAGAAGTAGACTTAGACTTCATTTCTCCAACCCCTCATTTTTTGGTTGAGGACCAAACAAGCAATTGACTTGACCAACTCATGGCAAACTGTCCATGAAAGATTCCTGGAATGGAATGGGAGGGGCCAACCTCATATTTGTTTTTTCTTTCTTTAAATTATTTCTTTTTTAAATAAATTTGTTATTTTTATTTTTAACATTCATATTTTTTAAATTTTGATTTCTGAATTCTCTCACTCCCTCCCACTTCTCCATCCATTTAGAAATCAAGAAATGTGATATCAATTACACATGTGAAAGAATGCAAAACTTATTTCTGTATTAGATATGTTGCTCCCATGATCTTTCAGTGACACCATACACTCTCTCCAACCTGTCATGGAATATGAATTGATATATTCCTGTGATTGAGAGGAAAAAAGTAAGCAATGTTTTTTTGTTTGTAAGGAGAGAGAGAGTCGTCCCCTAATTTCATAGAAGCCTTCCCAAGAAGCTCTGAGAAGAGGAAAATGCAAATTGAAACCTTGGAAAACCTTGCATGTCTTATAATTGGTTTAATGAGTCACTCTTTGTCACTTCCTCCCTGGGACCTTGACCTGGATCATATGTGACATTAGTTAGCCCGGGAGGCCTGCTGAGGTTCCTTCCAAACTCTGAGATTATGTGAAGTTAAACATTTTATTTCATTTCAGTATTTGGTGTTTTTTAAGCTCAGATTTTTTTCTTTTTTCTCCTTTACTGTGCTCTAGGGCCATTACAGAACAAAAGCAGAAGATGAAGCGATTGGGTTCAGATTTGACCAGTGCCCAGAAAGAGATGAAGGCCAAGCACAAAGCCTATGAGAACGCAGTGGGCATCCTGAGCCGCCGCCTCCAGGAAGCCCTCACTGCCAAAGAATCTTCAGAGGCAGAATTAACCAAACTCAGAGCCCAGGTCACAGATGGAGGAAACAGCCAAGCTCTCAGTGTAGGCAGATGTCACCTTCTCTCTCTGTCACATGGAGGTGTGGGCTCAAAGTGCAGGTGCAGGGGAGGATTCCCCCCGGCCCCTGGGCCTCAGCATCTTCATCTGTAAAAGGAGGGTGGTGGGTCACATGCTCTCTGAGGCTCTTTCCAGCTCTCATCTTCTGATGTATTAGAAAGATGTCATTTTTTCCCTTTAGAGAACTTACTGATGGATACGTGAGGGAGTCAGACAAAAGGAATCTTCGGTTGTGGGCATAGATTTTCTCTTTAGTTGTTTATATCATGATTCTAAACTACCATTTAAATGTCCCATAGCCTTTATTACTTAGGATACGCTTTGTTTGCGTGATCCGTATTATTCAGTAGTCTCCCCTGCCCCATTCTGTCACAGGACCCATGCGAGCGGCTTCTCCCAACTTTTCAATATGGTGGTCTTGTTTGTAACACACAGCATAGGCCCCTCCTGTGAAAGGAGTTGTCCTTTTCCTGACTTCGTAAGTCTTCTGTGTCTTTCACCAATCGAGCACAAAAACTGTGCCCCATGGTTTTATTTGTTACAGTATTAAAATGTACATGATTTGGGTAAGTCAAGTTAAACCCCTTCTAAACAAAGCTTCTGTGGAAGTATATTGAAACATTTGTATTATACATGAAGCTTGTGTAAGTGACCGAAACCAGATCCTGCCCCTTAAAGCTGCTCTTGCTCAAATTGAAGTAGACATGTTGAATGATTGTTGTCATGTGACTTCATGAAGCAGGAAGAGCTGAACCTGCCCCCTCTGTCTTCAGGACCGAATCCAAGTCCTGGAGCTGGAGCTGCAGACTGTGGGTCACAGTAAGATGGTGCTCGAGAAGGAGCTCCAGGAAATCATCTCGCTGACCAGCCAAGAGTTGGAAGAGTACAGGGAGAAAGTCCTCGAGCTGGAGGATGAGGTGGCTGTCTCTGCTTTCTCTTGGGGGAGAAGAGGCTGAGGGATGCTGCAGGGATGGAGAGGGGGACAGCAGGGAAGATGGGAGGGTGGCTGTGGCTGCTGTAGTAATGCACACCTGTAACATACTCTGTTGGCACGGTCTGCTTTCCTGAACTCTACTCTGTGCGATAACTATTCAGAATGTTTTACCCACTAAGATGCACAACCAGCTTAGGTCACAGTGGGCCTTTATTATGATTTTTTCCCCAGCTCCAGGAATCCAGAGGCTTTAGGAGGAAGATAAAGCGTCTCGAAGAGTTAAATAAGAAGTTGGCTCTTGAATTAGAACACGAGCGGGGCAAGCTGACGGGTCTGGGACAGTCCAACGCAGCCCTACGGGAGCACAACGGTATCCTAGAGACGGCATTAGCCAAGAGGGAGGCAGATTTAGTGCAGCTGAACCTGCAGGTATTTGGAGCCCTGTGCCAGTGGGTTGGTTCTCGGTCACCTTAAAATCAAAACACGTCTTTCTTTCCTACTTTTGGCTTTTTTTTTTTTTTTGGGTGAGGCAATCAGGGTTAGGTAACTTGCCCAGGATCACACAGCTAGTAAGTTTCAAGTGTCTGAGACTGGATTTGAACTCAGGTCCTCCTGACTCCAAAGCTGGAGCTCTATCCACTGCACCACCTAGCTTCCCCAAAACTCATCTTTAAGAATAGTTAGAAGTAGAAGAATTTGACAGCCAGCCACAAGAAGAATTACGGTTTCTTCCTACCTATCTTTACTAAGACAGAATTTCCACAGTGGAAATGAGAACGTTTCTCCATGCTTCATAAGGCAATGGTTTAATTGGGAATTTTACTCAAAAAGGTTTTCTAGTGCACAGCTTTATCCTCTGGGACAATATCAACATGGCTGATGCATGTTTTTTTATTTGCTTAGAAAAGTAGAGGTTGTTGTTGTCTTGGTCATTCCTGAGGGTTGTTCCTTAGCCTCTTTGTTTGGAGGTTCCCAGTGGTAAAGAGGTGGGGGAGTCCAATAAGGACCACCCTTGCTTGAGAAGGCTAAGCAATAGTAGTAAAGTCTCTCCATCCTGCACACTGAGGAGTCCGTTTTTACGTAGCTTCTCTAGGAAAGCCTCTTTGTCTCTTCACAAAGACTCAAAACGCAGCATCTTTAAGTGGCACATCAGAGTGTCCAGGGCCCTGTGTGCGGCCCCCACCCCAAGGTCCCCTGCTGCGGCAGTGCCGTCACCCCCCCCCACCACCACCACGGCCCTGGTTTTGAGGCTGGGCCGAGGTCTCCCAGACACGTGAAATGGCAGCGCGCCGCCCTGCTTCCCCCTGTGGTCCAGGTCCAGGCAGTTCTACAGCGCAAAGAGGAGGAGGATCAGCAGATGAAACAGCTTATTCACACCTTGCAGACGGCGCTGGAGAAGGAGAAGGCCAAAGTGCGAAGCCTCAAGGAGCAGGTGGGTGGATGGGTGTGCCTGCACCTGCGGCCCCACCCTGGGCTCTGTGGGCTTGGCACCTGCCACATCTAGAAACTAGTAATACAGAGATGGCAGCGGCAAAGCCGTTTCTCGGCCTCCTTCAAGCATTACGTGAAAAAGCCCTTTTGTCTACGCCAGATGAAAAAGGACTGCTTAAATGCTTGTTTATTTCACAGAAGATGCACCTAAATAGGCTTCTTGGCCTGCCTCTTGCCTCCCCTTGCCACAGGTGGCCGCGGCCAAGGCCGACGCCGGACACAACCGCCGTCATTTCCGAGCTGCAGCCTTGGAGCTGAGCGAGGTGAAGAAGGAGCTGCAGGCCAAGGAGCAGATCGTCCAAAAGCTCCAAGCGGAAGCAGACGGCCTGCAGTGAGTATTGCCTGGAGTCCGGAAGACCTGAGTCCGAGTGTGGCCTCGGGCACTTACTGGCTCGGTGACCCTGGGCAACGCCCTCAACCTCTGTCTGCCTCAGCTTTCTCAGCCGTAAGATGGGGTAGTGACAGCACCTACTCCAGCAGGGTGTTGTGAGGATCAAATGAGATGATGGTTGTGAAGTGCTTGGCGTAGTGCCTGGTGCTTAAGAAATGTCAACCGTTTATAGCAGTGTTATTATTATATTTCAGTGTCTCCTGAGGCCTGGAGGTCAGAGGCACAGAGTGTGGTTTCTTTTCAAGTCTTGGTCACTACCAGTGCAGACCTCCCTGGTTTGACCATGCTTACCCATGGACTCGATCTCTATCCAGCTCTTGGCTGTTGGGAGGATTGGGAGGAGCAGCCTGGGTTCCGTTTGGCCCACTTTCTAGGGGAACTCCAGAAAGCAGCTTTTAGCTGATGTAATGGATAGGCAGGGTTTATGCCAGCATACAAATGCCTTGGTGGCACACATCAGGGTAACTAGCATACATGTAATAAGCCACCCTTAAAACAGTTCTGGCGATTGTGACCGGGATGGGCGGCCCTGGTCAGGATCATCACATGGGCTCAGCACAAGCGTCTCGTTATCAGACCTCCACAGCCAGCTTGTTTGCTTCCCAGTTTCTTGGAGTCTGTGTGCCCATAAATCCAGGGTGCTCTGGGAACATCCTTGTGAATGTCATTGTATGTCTCATATACACGACCGTCCCAAAGAGCCAGACGGAGAGGCCTTTACGTGCAGATCAGCACAGAAACTTTGTTCTTGTCATTGTGTCCGTCCCTAGAGCACAGGAGGGAAAACACTGCCAAGAGGTGACCCAGTTCCAGCAGGAGTTGGCAGAAGCTCGGGCTCAGCTGCAGCTGCTGCAGAAGCAGCTGGACGAACAACTGGACAAACAGCCTGTCGAAAACCAAGAGGTAAAAACCTTAAAGGGTTTCGTCGTCAAACAGCCCAAAGCAGGAGGCTGCTGATTCAGGCTTATCTCATTAGACAGTTACTAAATGAATTAATAGAAGACTAGTGAATTTTTTATAACACATTCCTTCGAGAATATGTCGTTTCTAATGATCAATGAACTATTTTTCAACCATGTTCTGCCTTGCTTCCTGTTCTCTTCCTTCAGGTTGAAGATCTCAAATGGGAGATAAGTCAGAAAGAGAGAGAAATCCAAACCCTGAAGCAGCAGCTGGATCTGAGTGAGCAGCACAGTCAGAAGGAATTGGAAGCCATCCAGCTGGCGTTGCAGGTAGCTGAAGCGTCCCGCATGGCCCTGAGGAAGGGGCCTGGGCTCGGGGCTCTTCAGGGTCAGCAAAGGAGAGGGTGTTTTTGATGGAAAACAGTAACAATCCTGAGCAGTCTCAGGCACATGCCTGACAAGGTTCACTGTCAGAACTGTCCTTCTCTTTTGAAATTAACCTGGATTATCCTGGTGGAAGGAAGAAGGAACCTGCAACTGCTCAGATTGCTCACCTCTAAATAAATGGCTTTTCAAGCAGGCAGAGATGAAATTAAGCCCAAGAACGCGAGAGCCAATCAGAATGAGGAGTGCTGGCCTCATGCTGTTTTCACTGGGACCATTTTCCTCCTTTTAAAATGAATATTGAGGAATTATGTTAGGTTCATTATTTTGGACAGAGATGTTGGCAGAGTGGCTGAGGAGGTGGCTACAAAGCCTCGTTAGATGCCCCGACCCCTCCTGGCTTTACAAGCTAGCCAGTCACTCAGACTCAGCTCGGGGTGGCTTGCCAGGGCTTGCCATTAGAGAGGAGCCACCCACCTGCCTCGATAAAGTGAGTTTATCACATCGGTGTTCTCTGTACAAATAAATCACGGCTTCCATCTTCATCCATCGTTAGGATTCGTCCTCTGACCTGCAGAAGTGCTGCTCTGTGACAGGGGACCCTTAGAGAGTTCCTGGCAAAGCCACGCAGTGGCTGCAGGGCCGTCCAGTGTGGGGGAGAGTCGTCTTCCTCTTTCCCTGGGCAGCCCCACAGCCTGCTTAGCAGGGGCCAGGCCCGGGAATCCAGACTGGGACCAACGTCACCTCTCCCTTCTCAGCCTCAGGAAGCAGGGAGAGACCTGGGGAGGGAATACTCACGCAGGGAAAGCGGGGCCTGCCTCAGCCCTTTGGAAATCGTTCAGCTTCTGGTTTTCCACAGTGGCTGAAAAAAACTCTCCTTCTCTCTCTAGAATATTAAAACTGAGCTCGACATGGCACGGGAAGATCTTTCGATGACCCAGAAAGATAAATTCACCCTTCAGGCTAAGGTGACAGAGCTGAAGAACAGCATGAAGACGCTGCTGCAGCAAAACCAGCAGCTGAAACAGGACCTGAAGCATGGCAAGATGAGGAAGGTAGTGCCCCACAGCCTGAGCCCCCACACGGGCACCCCGGGGACTGGCCGCGGCCAGCAGAGTTGTGTCCCCTCTGGCTGCCAGTTTGTATCTACGTAATGCTAAAACGTCACCCGCAGAAGAGGCTTTGTGATGGAAAGATGGCCAGGGCCACACCAGGAGCAGATTCCTGTCAGCCCAGGGGCGGTGGGTACAACCACCTGATTCACCCAGGTTACGGTTCTCGGTCTCCTCCTGCTAAGGAGATCCAGAAAGCAGCTCCTGAATAACTCTGGTCAGAGGCCGTAGGTCACAGTCATTGTTGGCTGAGGGCCACGGCACGCCTGGGGCGTGCTCTGTATGGGCTCTTCCTGCTGTGTCATTAGAGGAGTTTTATAGGCTTATGAGGTAAATTGCTATAATTCATCCGTCTGAAATAATATGCCAGTCAAACATGGGGGCATCAAAGTGGTGAAGCCTGACAACCCAGTTGGATAAGTAACATTTCATTATGATGCCCGAAGTCCTTCATGGAAAACTCTTATCTTCTGGTTCATATCTAAGGGAGGTTATATTGAAGATCACAAGTTTTCCAAATTAACACAGTCCCTCTGGGTTACCATATATAAAGTGCTTTGCAAACCTTAAAATGCTATATAAAGGCTAGCAATTACTTGGGGGGGGGCATCAAAACATGGGCATTGTACTTACCGAATTTTGGGGCCCTCCTTTCAATAGCTGGGTAACGTTATGCAGAATTAGAAGGCTTGGGTTTGCACATCTGTATTACCCTTCTCCCTCCCCACTGCAGTCTCTGCCTCTGTCTCTCCAAAACATAGGTGCTAATGACGCATTTGTTTTTCAGAAGAAAGAACTGAAGGGAGAGACCAGTTCCAACCCTGTGACTCCCGTTAAAATTCCCGACTGCCCTGTCCCTGCCTCCCTTCTGGAGGAGCTGCTCAAGCCCCCGCCAACTGTGAGCAAGGAGCCACTCAAGAATCTGAACAGCTGTCTCCAGCAATTGAAGTAGGACGGACCTTTTTGTTTAGCATTTAGTAAAGAAAATGAAATCCTTTGGGGACATGCTTTCATGTCACCTGTGCCAAAAACCCATAAATGGGTCTGCCAGCCTAAAAACCCCCTTCTTGCCTGTGTCTCCGTTCCATTTGGCTGCATCTCACAGGATGAGAGTTTCTGAGTTGAACAGGTTCTCCCGAGGATGCAGGGGCCCAACAAGCAGTGAGCCTCTAAGCCCTGGCAGGAGACCTTCCCTCCCAGGCAGCCCTAGCCATAGTAGGACAACTCCAGTTAGTTCTGGTTTTTCCACTCGTCCATCCTTCATTGAATACCTACTGTGTGTGCACCCAGGATTCAGAACAGGGGATACTCACAACCGAGGAGTCTTGCAATCTAGTTTAGTACATAAGACACATAATAGAGAAAGAGAGGCATATTTAAGTTTTATAGGGATTCAAAAGAAGGGAGGCTGAATTGGACCCTCCTCAAAGGAGTTTGGGATTCTGCTCTGCAAAGATTGCAGGAAAGTTGGCAAAGCAAAGCAAAGATTGCTTGCAGGCGAGGGGAATAACATGAGTGAAGGCTGGACCAGGCAGAGCCACACCTCGAGGGGAGAGGCTTTGTTAGTCAGCACCCAGAGGTAGAGCCAGCTGGGTCACCCTCTCCCTCACCGGCTCTGCCTTCTCAGGGGTACTGCTTTCTCCCTCTGTAGCTCTGGTCCATGTTAGGCCATGTGATGAAATGACAAACCACTCCATTGTCTTTGCCAGAGAAACCCCAAATGGGGTCATGGAGAGTCAGACACAATTGAACGCCACAACCCTGCATCCTCAAGTTTGATCAGTTTTCTTTGTTTCTGCCCTTTTGATAGATGCCTTTGAATTGTTTTAATTTGCATATCTTTGATTATTAGGAAAGCTGAACAAAAGAAAAAACTTTTTGGTTTTTAAAGCTTCTAAAAAGTTTTTAACTCCATTGAAGAAAAGAGGAAGATGAGACAAGGGTCAGGACTGTGACTCCAGGTGGAAGATCTAATTGATAGCCGAGAGGAAGCTGCTTTTGTTTCAGTTTTGTTTTCTTTGCTAAGGAGGATTTTTTTTGGACAGAAATAGCTGGTTAAGAAGATGGTGCCTAAGTGAAGTAAGGAGACGTAGGGCACCTGAGCGCCTTTGGTGACCTCAAGTCACCAGGTGTGAGTCAACTCTCAGATTACTGGGAAAAACAAGGCAGATGTCGCTGGTGAGGCCACAGACCGGGATCTGGGGAAAATCAAGGAGCGCAGGAGAGGACGGAAGAAGGGCGGATGAGTGAGGAGCTTGACTTCTGTTGCTGAGAAATTGGAGATCACATTATTGAAGGGATGGGTGTCAAACAGAGAAGCAAGTGGTGGCCAGGAAGAGCTAGCACCTGGGACCAAAGTCACACCCAGCTCATTTCATTTACCTTCTTATCCAGTCTTATTAGACTGCTCAGTAAGGGGAATGCCGGAGTTATCATACACCTCGATTTTAGCAAATCATTTGACCAAGTTTCACATACTGTCCTTTCAGAAAAAAAATGCAGTTTGAGCTAGAAGGTAATATGTTCAGATGGATTTAGAATGAGATGGAGCAGACCCAAAGAGTAGTCACCCATCATTCAACATCAGCTTGGAAAGTGGTCTCTAGCAGAGTGCCCTAGGGGTCTGGAAGTGGCCTTGAGCTAACGTTTTTATCAGCGACTTGGGTAAAGGCATAGATAGAATGCTTTTCAAAAATAGTGAACAATTATAAAAGTCAGGATGCCAAACAATCTTACAGGCTAAAACTATTAGGTTGAATCTCTAATAAGATGAAATTAATTTTTTTTCCTCTTTTATTATGAACTTGACAAGCATCAACAAATATGACCATTTCTGTCCACATTAACCAAAAATATATATATAGAAAAAAAGGATTGTATATGAAACCATGAATATTATATGTAGTTTGGGTAGTTTTAAAGTATATATTCAATTTATGTATCCCACATAGCCTTGTTTGTCTGTGTCCCCTTTCTGAACTTGGTTCTCTTCTTTTCTGTGTATTTTTAAATGTTTCACTAGCCTTTTCTTTTTTGGGGGGGCATTGTATCTTCTTATTACCTCTCCCCCCAAGTATTCATCTCCTTCCGTCTATTCCTCCCCCAAGAAAATGGAAGTACCCCTTTGTAACAGACAAATATAGTCAAGGGAAAAAAATCACACTTTGGTCATCTCTAAAAATAGTTTGATTCTGCACTTACAATCCATCACCTCTCTACCAAGAGGATAGAGGCCTGCTTCATTACCAGTCTTCTGGCGTCATTGGTTAGTCATTGCATTAATCAGAGCTCTTAAGTCTTTCAGAGTAATTTTCCTTTACAGCATTGTTGTCATTGTATAAAAATTGTGCTTTACTCTGTTAGCTCATGAGTCTTCCTAGATTTCTCTTAATCCCTTTTATAATTCTATACTGTGCTATAATATCCTTTTACATCCATATAATTTTTTCGGCCATTCTCCAGTTGATGGGCATCCCCTTGGCCTCCAGTTCTTTGCTGCAGCAAAAAGTGCTGCCATAAATGTTTTCGCATATATCAGTACTTTCCTTCTTCTTTGGCTTCTTTGGAGTATGAAATTATTTACTATGTATGAAATAATTGAGGATCAAAAAAAATCAATTTCACTAATAAAATATAGGGGCAGATAGGAATAGACAGTAAACTACCTGAAAAAATCTGCGCTTTTAGTGCACTCCAAGCTCAAGATGAGTCAGTAGTGTAATATGGCATCCAAGAGCTCCAGCAGTCCTTGCTGCAGTAAGAAAGTGCCCAGGCTTAGGAAGGTGATCGTCCCTGTGTACCTTGTCCTATCAGTGTACATCCAAATGGCAGTATGAAGATAATTGATAAGTTGGAAAGTGCAGTCAGAGTGGTCAAGGGTCTTCAGGCCATGCCATCTGATCTGTAGGAAGAACAGGGCATGATTAGCCTGGTAAAGAGAATATTTGTGGGGAATTATGGCTGCTTTCAAGTATTTGAAAGACCATCGTCACATGGAAGAGAGATGAGTCCCACGTGGCAGAATCCAAAAACAGTGAGTGGAATTAGCCAAGTCACAACAATTAAAGCTGACTCAAAGGGGCATGGGTGACCTTGAGAGGTGGTCAGTTGTCTATCCTGGCAGGTCCTCAGACAGAAGCGGCTGACAACCACTGAAAGAATGTGTTTTTAGGGGGATTGTTGTTGAAGGGGGGGTTGGCATGTGTGCATGCTGAGCTCCTCACAACTCAGAGTTTCTGGGTGGTTTTCAGCAATTATTTGTGATTTCTGTATCGTTTGTTGGTTGTCTGCTGATATGTCACCTTTGATCCCTTAGGGAATGAGTATTTCCTTTGAATATATCAATTTAAAACATCAAATTTCTATATGTTTGGTTTACTGCAGCTATTTTATCTCTGCTGTTTTTTTTTTTCATCTTGGTTATTTGCGGGGGGAGGGGTGTTGTGGGTTTTTATGTATAATCATAGCATATTTTCCTTTGTTCAGCCGATAAAAAATACGAATGTATTATTTCAGTTTCATCTAACTTTGGAGAGTTTTTAAGTAGTTAACTATATAGTCTGGCTGAAATTTATGTTAGTATATGGGATGAGGTTTGAGGACCCAAATTTATTTTCAGCCACATTCAGTTCCTAAGGAGGGTTTTCTATTGGCTTTAGAACCTAATATTTTAAATGTTGTAGTAGAAAATCATTATACCTCTTTCTGATGTTCCTAGATTGCCTTCTTTTGACACAGTTGGTATTTATTCCTTTGACATATTTCCTTTTCTTAAAAGGCAAGAGATGGATAGTCTTCAGCGCCAAATGGAAGAGCACACGATCACAGTACATGAGTCGATGTCTTCGTGGACTCAGATGGAGGGCCACTTAATGGACCTCTCGGTTCCCTGCCCTCCTGCCGCCTCTAGGGAACTCGAAAATTCCAGCGTTGACCGAAAGGAACAGAACCACCCTGCCCACACCCAGCAAGTATTGGAACAATGACCCCAAGCTGCCCCCGGTTCTCTTCTCTAAGTGTGTGAAGGATCATTGTTTTATCACCCTTATTTATTTGACTGTGTACTTGATGTTTTTCTATGAGTTGTTGTTTTGAGTTCTCCTTTTGTCGATAAGGGTACAAGAGAGTGATGGCAAAGGACCAGAGAAGTAACCTATCCGTGGGCCATGCTTAATTCCCGATTCCTTTGACATGATCCTACTGCCTACCAAAGTCACTCAGTCTCAGATGGGGTCTTGTCTCTGATATTCTGTACGGGAGTCTGGGTCAGTTCTGAGGAATGGTATGTCAGCACAAAATTCTGAGAGATCCTCTTGGTAACCTTGTTGAGAAGGGGATTTCAGAATTGTTGCCGTCAGTGGAGACATCTGGCCTGGGGAGTTCTTGCTCCATGTCTCACTTTCCTTCTCAGCTCGGTGGGAAACTTTATTTTCCTGCAGAGAAGAAAACACTTATTTTGCACCTTTTACTTTATTTTTCAAATACATACATCCTCTAGTTGGATGTCTATAAATAGTTAAAAAAAATCATATAATTGTTACAAAAAACCCTTCTATAATTTAAAAATTACTCGGATTGTCTTCTTTGTTCTTCTGTCTTGTTGCCATGTTTAAGTCTGCTGTTAGAAAATCTTGTATATAGAGTATTTAGGGAAGCTGACCAGACAGGTAAGGCTTTTAGAAAAATATTTTATTTACTATACCTTTCAAACACAAAAATGCCTATATGAAAGGGTTTGGGGTTTTGTTTTTTTTTTCATCACCTTTCTTTCGTGGCTGTTTGCAAAGTGCACAGAGCTTCACTTTCAGTGGGAGCAGTCTCCCTTGCCCTAGCCAAAGCATCGCAGTTCGTAAGTGGGGGACCTGTGACCTTCGGGTCCAGAAGGACCTGGGGTCCCGCCTAAGCGGAGGAAAAGGAGGTTAATTGGGAGGATGAGGGAGTGTGTAGGAGGGAGGGAGGAAAAGGAAAGGGAGAGATGAATTGGCGACGACGGGTAGGGTAGGGCACTATTGTCCCAACTTTGGCTGTGACAGCCTGAGGTTTAGACTTGAAACTGACATAACAGGAGAGTTGCCTCAGCCAACTGAGCCAGTGTAGCCATTGAGAAAAAAACACTCCCTGCAGACTGGACTTCATGAGCATGTTGGCTAGTTTTACAAAAAAAGGTTCCCATTTAGTCTCTTTCCTGCTCAGGAATCATTGTTTCTGATGCAGATGAGTGGAAAAAATTAAGACACCAATATCAGTGCAGACTTCTGATTGTCTTTTCTTTCCTGGGTGCTCGTGAAACCCAGAATACTTTGATTTACAAATTGGGCACCCTGGATAGGCACACTTCAACTCCTCACATCGTTCCACCCAAACTAAACACCATCAAAATGATGGATCAGGAGGCTAGCAGTTTGTGAACTTTGGATTTTGTTTTCTTTAATTTGCAAAGAAAAATCTAGGAAAAAAAATTGCAGTAAGTAGTGGGAGATTTTTGTGTTTGTAAGCTTTAGGGGAGGGAGGGAATAATCTATGAATGGGGCTCTCAGATGCCCATTATTCAGAATAGCTGGCCTGAAAATGATGTTATGAAGTGTTATTGATCAGTCCAGATATGCTCATGTTTACTCTATATATGACGGAAACTTAATTACTCTCATGGAAAACAGTATGGTATTCTTAAGCCATTTCTTGTGTTCTTAAAGCTGCCTCTTAAACTGTTGCAAGAGGAAATAAAAATACCCTATTGTTAGTTGATAAGGTTAAAATAACATTAATGTTAAATACACTTAGTGATACTGAAAAAAAATACTCCCATCAAGTGTTGCCATTTCTAAAGAATTGTCATTTGTGCGAGGGTGATTCTTGCTGCCATACTGGAAAATCATCCTTCCCCACAGATGCAGGCAGAAGACCCCCCCTCCCCCACTAGTCTTGTGTGATGCTAGGACGTGTCTCATCTTTTCCCGCTTGTCTCACCCCCAGGCCGCGTATGGGGTGCTCCCTATCAAGGCACATTCAGGGTTCACTTTTCCATAAAGGAAGAGAAGCTTGGTTAGTCGTCAGGTGAAGTCAAACTTCTTTTGTTTTACTTCATCTTTTTCTTTCTGCTCTTGGTTATTTCTCACATATATTCCTTCTGTCACTCCCGCTCCCACCCTGAGAAACACAGTAATTTTCTTGACTCTCTTTGCAATGTGCTCGTCCCAAAGCCCCTGCCGGTCCCCTCCCTTCTGGCTCAGAGAGAATTCACAGGGTCGAGTGTTTTAGCTCTGAATGTGATTCTCTAAGGCTCGGATCCTGCTGTGGGTTGGGTAGAGGAGTAAGGGATGCTCAAGACTGCTTGGCTTCCCTTTCTTTCCTATCCTCCCAGCTGCTGGACATCAGTCCCTTATTTTCCCCTTTCCCTTTCTTCCCCTAGTACCTAGGACACCCTAGGCTAGGGAAATTAATCTGAAGCCTCTCAGTGTCTGCTTAGACACTGCCATTAGGCTTCCCCAAGAAGTCACTTTAAAGAGGAAAACTGGTGCCTCCATAACCTACAAGATGATCTCCAGGTTGCCTATTTTGAATTCGCTGAGGGTTTCCTTGCCTGCAGGGGACTCTGCTTCCTGTAGTTGTCTCACTGTCCTACCTCCCCCAGCCAGGGTCTAGTGAAGAAAAGCCTAGGTAATCTGCTGTTTCTCCAAAACCATAGTTTTGAAATTGACTCGTGAGTCAACACGTGCAAAGAAAGCAGAGATAATTCCTTTATACAGCAAAGACTTGACTTGCTACGTACTTGTAGATGTCTATAATGAACGTGATGTTCAATACTGAAGGGAAAGTTCATACTCTGTGGAATTGTTACTTAGTCTTCCAGTTTGTTCCAAAATGTTTTGTGCAACCTGGTTGTCATTCCTTCTTTGGTACACAACATCTCCAAGAGATATTATGGATCTTATAGATTCATAAAACCGTTCTTCCCTCTGGAGGGTGTGACAGCTGATTTTTATCTTGCCATAGGATGCGAAAGTGGCTATTGCTATGGTTGATACAGATTTAGGTCCAAATTGTAAAGAGATCCCCAAGAGAGATGCCCCAAGGTGTGTACTGATAGATACAGCTGGGCAGTACTTTGTGAGACTTTCCATGTTGCTCAACTGACAGTATCCATTTTCTGTACAGGGGAAGTTTCCCTGTAAAAGCAATAGCAAATCAGATTATAGACCTATAGATCTGGCATGGGTATGTACGGACACTTTCATGAGTGCTAAAAAATGTCTTGAATAGATATCATGGGATGAAACCATCCAATTATTAAAAAGAGATGCCCAGAAGCCTCACTTTAGCCAGATCCTGTGTGGCATAGGATTGGGTGTAGACCCAAGGGGTCTCATGCCTTCCTTATCCAAGGCAGGTTTGTGAGTGGAGGTATCAGAAGCACTGTTAGACCATGGTCTCACCTCAACTGTGCTCCCACAGTATGGGCCCAAAGATAGCAATACAGGGAGGCTTTAGTACTCTGAATGGTTTTCAGTTATCAAATCAAATATTCATTAGCTAATCAAAATAAGCTTCACATACATGCAAAAAATTATTCATGCATACAAATTTATTCAAATTTGTTCATCAGGTTGGGGCTCTTTTTTGGTGGAATAATTTGAGGAAAACGTGACACCATGTACAAAGAATGATTATCTTACACAGCATGTTAATTAAAAAAGGTTTAAGTGTGCATAGGAATTCCTAAGTTTTGTGCAATAAACTATTTTTTGTAAAGGGTTTCATATTTATTTTTGGGGGATTCATTATATTTGAGTACAGTTTGTCTCTTACTGAGGTGTATGTCCCCCCCTCATAAAAAATGTTAAATACTTCATGAAAATTCATTGATTTCAATAACAGTTTTGCTGTCATTCTATCAGTTTTCAAAATGCTAAGTCTGATTTTTTTCTGTTCCACTTAAATGACTGAAGCAAAACAATCTTGTTCTTATTTCTTTCGTCTGTAGCCCCTTTGACCAGTTTTGATAGTTCACACTTGCACCTATATATAAAAACGAACAGAAACAGGTTTGTAAGAATTTACAGGTATCCACTGAATTGGTTACCAGAAATATCACTGAACACATCCAAGATGGCAGCACTAGAAGCAGTAGGTTGAAGTTGCCTCAGGTTCCCCATCTGTAAAATGATGAGTTAGGCTTTATCGTCCCTGAGGTCCCTCCTAGGAGATGCCTCCTATAGGATCACAGGACATCCAGCCTAGATCCAGTGATCTGCCTGCATGTCCTATGGACAAGAAGTCAAAGAGATCTACAACTCATCTTTCCCCTAAAACCCACCTCCCTTTTCAACTCCCCTGTTTTCATTAAAGGGACTTTAATGCTTCCATTTACCTAGACCCACAAATTTGAAATTGTCCTCTATTCTCTTTCACCATCCATATCCAATCAGTGGCTAAATCTCATCGGTTCTGCATTCCAGACACCCCTCGTAGCCATCCCCTTCTCTGCACTCACAACCACTACCTTTTCCGTTAGACTGTGGCAATGATTTCCTAATTGGTCTATTGCCTTTGTGTCTCCTCTTGCCCTATCCATCCTTTTCACAACTGCCAAATATTCCTCAAGCAGGGTTCTGATCAAAGAGCTCCCTCTGTTGCCAAGACAGAATATGAACTCTTATTTGAGTCGTAGGGTGTTTTATACTCTGCTTCCCACTCATCCCTGGGCTTATTATACATTGTTGTCCATCACGTTCTAACGTTCCAGCCAAGCTGCCTTACTTGCTGTTCCCCTTCTGATATTCCAAATCAATTGAACAGGCATTTGTTAAATGCCTACCATGTACAAAATCCTGTGGTAGGCTCTAGAGATACAAAGAAAGGCAAAAAGATAGTCCCTGCCCTCAAGGAGCTCACAGTCCAACGAGAGAGACAACACGCCAACAACAATATGCAAACAATATACTTAGATGAAAAAGTGGAGATCATCTGCAGAGAGAAAGTACTGGAAGCAAGAAACACTGAGAAACCTTAATGCCCCATAGAAGATGGGATTTGGGCTGGGACCTGGAGAATGTCAGGGAAGCCAAGTTGAAAATTCCAGGCAAGGGAGTACAAAGGCACAGTGGAAACAGAATTAGGAGATGGAGTGTGAGGAACAGCATGGAGGCCTGTGTCCCTGGTGGCAGGGAATAAAATGTAAGACTGGGAAGACAGCAAACAGCCAGATTATGAAGACCCTTGAACACCAAATCAAAGATTTTATATTTGATTCTGGAGGTAATATGGAGCCACTGGAAGTTATTGATTGGGAGGAGAGATATTGCAATGATCCAAACATGAAAGGATGAGGACCTGCACCTGGGTGGGGGCGCTGTCAAAAAACAGAAAGGGAGCATGTGAGCAATGTTACAAAGGTAAAAATCAACAGGTAACAGACTAGAGACGGGGACTGAGAGACAGGAGACTTGGTTGTGCACCTCAGGAACTGGGAGGATGGTGGTACCCTCCATAGTTGAAGGGAAGTTAGGAAGAAGAGAGAGTTTGGGGGAGAAGGAAAGAAAACAAGTTCAGTTCTGGATATGTTGATTTGGGGATCTCCGTCTTCCCCTTCACTTCTTGCAGCTTGGAACCCCTGGCTTCCTTCAAGGCTCATCTCAAGTTCCACTTCCTTTAAGGCCATTCCTGATTCCCTCAGCTATGAGTGCCCTCCCCCAAATCACTACATATTGATTTTGTGTATATATTCCATACTTATCTGTGAACATGGAATCCCCTAATGGAACATAAATTCCTTGAGGGCAGGAACTACCCTGCTTTTGCATCTGTATTATCCCCAGCTTCTACCACATAGGTGCTTGATAGATGCTTATTAGTTGATAGGCCAAAGGTTTTTGTTTTGTTTTTTGGTGGAGGAGCATGATTCCTCCCCAACTCTGAACTGCTTGATGAGGATCCAAGCTGCAATGAAAAAATACTGTGCCCCCTTCTTGCAAAAATTAGTTGCCTGGAGAAAAGACAGCTAGGGGACAGATTTACAATCCACAAATATTTGATTGTCAAAGAAAGATTGAACATCTGCACTCGGGGGCCACACAGGATTAGGACCAATTGGGAAAAGTTAAAGAGAGGCAGAATTTGAGTTGATATATGGGAAAACAACACAGATGAAATGGAATTTCCTCATCCGTCTTCAAGAAAGGAATTAGGATTGAATGGCCACTTGGTGGCAGGGTTCTATAGAGAATGTATGCTTCAGATCAAGGTTTTACTTGCCACAACCTTTCTAGTCTATGAAGCAGAGACTTGGTAGGATGGGACTCATTATATTGTATCAATATGGAAGAGTCTATTTTTTTTAAAGGAACAAAAAAAAAAAGGAGTAATATTGTATATTAAGAAGATATACAGGACTGAAGTCAAGTCCACAAGCCTTTATTACTCAGTAAGCATTATGGGCCATACAAATATAAGCCAAAAGTAATGTCCTCAAGCATCTTAAAAATCTAATTTGGGATGACAACACATAAAAGAGGTAAAGAAAGCAGCTCTTCCAGGGAAGAAGTCCCGGGAGGGTGGGGGGAGGGATCTTTCAAGCTAAGGAGACATCTGAGGCATGGAAGCAAAGTCCAGAGTAGGAGGGAGGAGAATGAGAGTGTGGAAGCAGGGGGATGTGACTAACAAAGAGGGCAGTGGAAGCATAAGGAAAAAAGAGAAGAAAATTTTGAAAAACCATTCGTACATGTTTCATCTGTTGTGTAACAGAGTTAAAGTTGTAGTGATTATATTATTTTCCAAATAAACACACAAAATACAAGCTGTAACTGATCAGTGGTCAAGTCAGAAGACAAGTCTTAAGCACGTGTTGGCAGATGAGACTGCCACACATTGTCCAGAAGTCCAGCGTGCATCGGCAGGAATATGTGCATGTAACGACTTGTTTACAGTGCGATACTATACGGTTACACGTTGCAATACTGTATCATCAAAATATCGATACAGGAAAAAAACCACAAATTTACAATAAATTATTAAATTTAAGATGCATCATTTTAAAAAATATATATATTTTTTAATGATGCAAATTTCAAAAAATATATATATATTTAAGGGTGGATTTCCAGGGGGGCACTGAGTAATTTTTTTTGAAAAGGGGGTAGCAGACCAAGTAAGTTTGGGAACCTTTGTATATCTATATCTATAGATATAGATAGATACACACGTATATATATACACATACATACATATACATACATGTGTGTATGCATGTACATATATATATGACTAACAAAAGGAAGAAATATAAAACTAGAAAAAAGTAGGAGAGAAAAAGGAACTAATAAACAAAATCCTTAAGGGAAAGGTGTAACAAACAAGAAGAGGAGATCAGAGGTGAGGAGAAAAGAGCCAATGGGAACAGTTATCTTTAAAAAAAAAAAAAAGATCAAAGTAAAGTGACTGAAGAAACATAACACTGTGTTTATAGCAAAAAAGGGAATTTGAAAGTAAAAAACTTCTACACAATGTTAATGTACCTAGGATAAGAATGGAAGAGGTCAAATAGGGAAAAATCTTTTTATCAAATTTATCTGATTAGGGTTTAGTATCCAAGATATATATAGATATAGGTATATCTATGTGTATATGTATATATCTTTATGTTATATACATATATGTATATATGATATGAACAATTTTTTAAAAACCTACAAGTATTCACAACATTAAAAAAAAATGCTCCAAATCACTAATAATAAGAGAAATAACAAAAGAAACAAATCAAAACATTCCTGAGGTTTGACCTCACACTCTACAAATTGACAAAAATTTTAAAAATGGCAATATTGAAGAGGTAGTGCAAGGATAGGCACATTAATACATTGTTAGTGGAGTTGTGAAACTGTCCAACCATTATAGAAAGCCATCTGGAAGTATGCAAATAAAGTGACTAAAATATCCATTCTCTTTGAACCTGAAATTCCATTATTGGTGAGAGAAATGATGATTTCTTTCTTATATCAATAACCAATTATTAACTGAGATTAAGATTTTTATTTTCCTATTTCCTCCTTCTCTACTAGGGCAAATCAGCCTCTGAAGAAAGGGCTGATGATGAGATTCGATTTAACATTCTCCTCAATCTTGTTTGAGGCCCTATCCAACTGGGGAAGCTTAGTTCTGATTAAAGAGTAAATTCCACCCATTATGTTCTATTCAGACTGGCTTGGTTGGGATGGGGGTTGGGGTTAGAGGGAGATACCTTTTGTATAAGTTTCAGAGGCAGGAGTAGTCTGCCTTGAGATGAGTCTCTCTTTGTCCATGACTGACATGATCAGAGTCACTTTACTTCACCCACCACTCATTATAACATTCATTCTCATTAATTGTTAACCAAGTAGAGCTGATTCCCACCTATGGGGAACACCCACTCTTCCAAGGGTATAGAAGTTTCAAGAGGCCTCCATGAGAGGCCTCAGTTTATGAGAGAAAGCTAAATGATCATTCTTTTATTAATTACTAGCTATAATTAATAAAATGATTAATTACCCAGAAATTATGTCTCAGACTTTTCATGCATCACACTGGGCTTAAACCCTAAGGAAGCATTGATAAAAACAAAATCGGGGCAGAGCCAAGATGGCAGAGGGAAAGCAGTGACTTGCTTGAGCTCTCCCCCCAAACCCCTCCAAATACCTATAAAAAATGGCTCTAAACGAATTCTAAAGCAGCAGAACCCACAAAAAGACAGAGTGAAACAAATTGCCGGCCAAAGACAGCCTGGATAGTTGATTGGAAAGGTATATCGCACCGGGCAGGGAGAGGAGCGCAGTTCAGCGTGGGTGCGCAGGCCGCAGTGACCCTGGAGCAGGCTTCAGAGAACTGAATCTCGGACAGCTGTGGTGGTTTCCAGACTTCTCAACCCAGGAACACCAAAGACAACTTAGAAGGTCAGTGGGAAAAGTCTGTGACTGCGGTGAGAGAGGAGCTAGGCCTCAGCCACAACTCTCAAGCGTGGCCTGGGGCCACGGCTGTTTCCTGAGCTTCCAGCCCATAGACTGAGGCATAATCAAGTGGCTGATCAGAGGGGGATTGCAGGGATCTCTTTGCCAGGGCTGAGGCAGGAATCTCTTGCTTTACCAGTGCTTGGATCTGGGTCACAGTTCTGAGGGGTGGTCCTGGGGCGTGGAGGAGCACTGGCGTGGTGGAGCTTGTGGCTGTAGAGAGAAAACGCCTCGCCCCTTATCAAAGCACCTTGGAAGAACTGAAAATTTTCAGATCCCTAGAAGTATCTCTGAAAACAACTGTACAAACCCCCGAAGCTTGGGACAGTACATTCTCCACATTGGAAGCAGACTTTTACCTTAACAAAGAGTTTAAAACTCCAGTAATTTGGCCGGGATCATAAGTAAGCAGTGCAAAAAGAGTCAGACTATATTATCTTACTTTAGCGACAAAGAAGATCAAAACATACAACCAGAAGAAGACAACGAAGCCAAAGCTCCTACATCCAAAGCCTCCAAGAAAAATATGAATCAGTCCCAGGCCTTGGAAGAGCTCAAAAGGGATTTTGAGAAGTAAGAGAAGTAGAGGAAAAACTGAGAGTGATGCAAGAAAATCATGAAAAACAAGTCAACAGCTTGCTAAAGGAGACCCAAAAATATACTGAAGAAAATAACACCTTAAAAAATAGCCTAACCCAAATGGCAAAAGAGGTCCAAAAAGCCAATGAGGAGAAGAATGCCCTAAAAAGCAAAATTGGCTAAATGGAAAAGGAAGCCCAAAAGATTACTGAAGAAAATACTTCCTTAAAAATCAGAATACAGCAACTGGAAGCTAGTGACTTTATGAGAAATCAAGACATTATAAAACAAATCCAAAAGAATGAAAAATTAGAAAACAATGTAAAATATCTCATTGGAAAAACAACTGACCTGAAAAATAGATAAAAACAAAATCCCCATATACTCCAAAATATTTTTAGCATTACTTTTTATGATAGCTAAAAACTATAAACAAAGTAGATGGCTATTAATTGGGGAATGAATAAATAAACTGAGGTACATGAATGTAATGGAATATTACTGTACTGTGAGAAATGATGTATGTGTGATGACTACAAAGAAGCATGGAAAGATCTATATGAACTGATGCAGAATGAAGTAAGCAGAGCCAAGAAAACAACTGTTGTTGTGTCATTTTCAGTCATGTACAGAATTGTTTTCATGTTGTTTCTCCCATTAGACTATAAGCCCCTTGAGGACAGGGACCATCCTTTGCCTTTCTTTGTACCTGCGGCACTTGAGCACAGGGCCTGGTACACAGTACAAATGTTCATTGACTGGCTGGCTGATTCCATGTAAGTCCTTTACAGATGTTATACTTCAATGCCTCACTATGGCATGGTGGTAATCCTGGGTTCTTGAAGACTATGCCACTGGAATACAAACGCTGTTTGGTTCTAGTCATTTTGGTCCTCTTCAAGAACAAAGGACAACAACCACCAACCATGCTGGAAAGGCTTTGAGTGTAGGCCCCATAACGGACCATATATATTGTCCAAGGATCAACCTTGTTGAAGTTTAGAGAGGTTCATTACCAAGCTATATATGGGTTGATTGTAGAAGGGCCATGTTCTACATCAATGGAGAAAGCACCGATACTGATAAAAGCATAGGTCTTTGATATAACACAGTTTGCCTGGGCACATACAGATTGCCCAACATGGAGCCTCCCTAAGTCTTCTACCACACAGATACTGAAAGCCACCGGAGGGACCAAAGGGAGCAAGAAAGGTCATGGTAAAAGCGGTGTTGGTCAAGGCTCAGGGTGGAGAGGAATGACCTGAGGTCACTTATAGACCAAGTGGTGAGCCAGAAGTGCAGTGACCAGGGCAGCTAGGTGGTGCAGTGGTAGAACATTGGCTCTGGAATCAGAAGGATCTGAGTTCAAATCCAGCCTCAAACACATGATACTTACTAGCTGTGTGACCCTAGGCAAGTCACTTAACTGCAATTGCCTCACCAAAAAAAAAAAAGTGCAGTGACCATATCTGGCCTTGGATTATAGAACATTGGAAGAACCAAGAAATCAAAACCCCTCATATGGAGCTCAGAAAACAACAAAAATGAAAAAAAAAAAAAAAGAAAAGAAAACCCTGAAGCATGAGACATTATCTCTCACACCCTGGGAGCAGAGCCCAACTCTAACATCAAGTTAATGGCCAAGAAAATAGGCCATTTAAAAATGAGTAAAAAACAGAGAAAGAAACCCAACCATAGATAGCTACTACTGTGAT